AAGACGAAAGTGGATTCGGAAATATCGATGAAAGCTGGTAACTCAGCGAAAAGAAAACGAGTTGAGGAAGTCATGGATTTGGGGCAAGGTGATTACCAATTGTCTGGCACAGATAGAATATTAACTGATATAGCGATGGTGCCACCCATTCTCATGGCGGGGTTAAAGTCAACTGGTTATAAATCCAAAAGGGGTGACCGCACTCTGACTGGAGCGACTTTAGAAATGGAAATACTCAGTCAATGTGGAGAGAGTAAAATGAGGGACTTCAAGCCATCTCCCATGAATCATGGAAAGGGAAGTGTTGCAGGACAACTAACACCAGTGGAATACAACAGACTGACAGTGTCTGAGACAGTGTCGATAGATGAACCCACCGGTGGATACATGGAGATGTTGGAATACCGAAACTCGGCTAGAGGGCATGTAATGGCCCTGGAAGAGGAAAAAGCCATGGAGGGTTATCTGGAAACAATGTTGCAAGGCACCACCCTCAAGCAGAAGGCGTACGGAACTTTGGCGTCGTCTGACATACAGGCGGAGACGATCGAGCAGTTGGTGAGCCTTCCATGGAAAGCAGTAGTATTGAGGTATTTCGAAGAGGAAATGAGGACTACGCCAAGAATACATGCTCTCGTGGCAGTACCTTACGTAAGGACGGAATTACAACTCAGGCTCGCCTGGTGCATGATGGGACTGACTCGCGAAGAATATGATTCAGAAGAAAGGAAGAGATCAAAAGAGGAAAAAGTTTTCCTTATAACGAATCTGAGGGATCTGATAGTCCAGGAGGGAGCAGCAGTAGCGTGTGCAAAGCGGAGAGACGCTCTCTGTTTCATTCGATTCCTGATAGAGCAGATTTCAGTACCTGCATTAAGCACTTGTGTTAAAATGTTGAAGGAAGGCGATGAGCGAACGAAAGCCATGTTCTTGCTAGCAATGCTGGATATGCAGCAAAGTAAACCGATGAGGGTGAACATGAAAGAACCTGAAGAATTGGAACCCATGAAAAAGATAGACGAGATCAGGAGATTCTCAAACAAGGAGTTGAGGCTCACTAAAGAATCTATGGGAGCATTGCCGAAATCCAGTGAATACTGTGGACCGATCAAGAAGAAGTCATATAGCTATGTATCCGGGATTATAGGGATGGCATACAATCCTTTCCTGAGTGAAGACATACGTGATTGCTTCTTTGATTATGAGCAGGCGGTGTTACTAAGATTCTGGACGTCCAGAATTGTGACGACTAAGAGCGTTAACAATCCACAGGCCAAATTGGGATTGGTCTTGGAAGAAGAGGTGACTGCACCTTCAGTACCAAAATCCGACAAGAGAGTGGAATTTGGGTTGGGATTCTCAGATGAATTACTGAGAACGAGCTTGATGGCAGTGTGGGAATTGATGAAGCCATCGTGGTGTCCTAGTCCCAACGCTGACTCAATATTACGGGCGACACAGGACATACAGAGGGAACTGAATGTGGACTGTAACCTGCGTGACCTCAACATCATATATAATGTGATGACAACAGCCTCTAAGAGCAACGGAGAAGATAGAGTGGAGTTGCCTGGCTGGGGACCAGAAGACTGGGTCAAACCTGGTAGCTGTCTGGCGGAAGTCTGTGGACTAGAGGGTCACGTTTGTGGAAGTCTAGACTGTGTGAAAACCCTAGAGAAACAACACAAGCAGTTGACGGTATTGTTTGGAAATGTAGTGATGAAAGCAAGAACGGAAACGGAACTGATAGCAGATTGCCATGGAGGAACCGATGTGAATCTAGTGACAGCACTAGGATTCTACAGCATGTTTGGTTCTTTAGAGTCACTATTGAATCTAGAACAGAAACATGAGATGGTCACAGCCATCAGCGTAGAAGTATTCCCAGGAGTTCTGCAGACTGAGCAGAAGTATATAGGAAAATGGAGGGAAGCAATCGAAACGGAGATGAACATCAGACACAGCGAAACTTATTGTAGACCATCAGGAGCACGATATTTGGTGGGTTCAATGTTGGCTCCAATGTGCAAGAGCAAGTATCCTGTACATTTCGTAGCTGTGGATGTGAAGAGTACAAGAACGATTGTGGATCAAGCCTTTTCAGTGCCGAAGTGCGTGAGGTTGGCAAGAATGTCTGAAAAGTCTTACGAGTTACTGTGTAAGATTTTCTCAGCAGTTCCAGAAAGAACCAAAGAGGAGTTGGAGTCAATACTAGGAAAGAAGTTCATGGGATATGTGAGCGGGAACTTCAGTGACTTTGAAAAACAGAAACAGAGAGGATCAACTGTCACAGATTACAATGCAGTAGATGAGAATGATGAGATCCACCGAGTGATGATGGAAGTGGAGCCATTGCTGGAAGCTTCGGGAAAACGGAATTGGAGGAGCATCATGTTGACACATGACGAGTTTCCTTGCCACTGCTTGCTGCAGACCTGGTGGTATCCCAAGCGTAGTAATCTGGTGTTGATCTGGGACTCTGGAGAGCTGCTCTCCATGGGTTTACCAGATTCATCACAGCCCATAACAATAGTGATAGTGGGAGTTATGATGGCGATACGATGGCTGGAAGCTCATGTGAGAGAAAATAATAGACAGGAGGCACCGACGAGAGAACAATTGCAGAAATTAGATTGTCTAAAAGATTTAGATCTTTTTGAGACAATGTGCAAAGTTCTAAACATTCCGATGGAAGTGAAGAAGATATGGGCAAGAAAACGATTGATGCCATGGTTCAGAGCTAACATGACTGCATGGTTGTACGAGTATGCGAAAAAGCATATGTCGAAACATGGCAGAGTGTACAGTGAATATCAGCTGGACATTGAGGCAGGAGCTTTCAAGCGAGCTTTCGTGACCCATCGGAATGCAGTGACCACCGCTGTGAAAAGAATTTCCAGGACGAGCGAGCGTAGTGGAAGTGAGAGGGCAGAGATGCTGAAAGAAGATTTGGAAAGAAACGTGGCGTTGTGTCTCCACAACAGCTTCTGTAGAAACAGAGAATCAAACGTGGATCCCCTACCTTGCTGTAAACAGAGGGTGGAAGAGCAGAAGTGTTGGAGGACGGCTTCCAACAGCGTCAGGATAGTCAATGACGTGCTACAAGACACGGAGACCGAGAGTGCAGAGTCAGCGTCACAGGAGGAGGAAATGGAGCATTGATGAATGGTCGAGAAAACAAGAGGCAACAAGAAAGAAAATTAGAAGAATTTAGAAGTTTTAGAACTTCTAAACGACGAAAAAAGAAGAGAACAAAGGGATGATGAAGAAAAGTTAAAACTCAGAATTGTTTTATGTGTGTGAAAAACTCAAGTGAGAAACCAAGCAACCAAGTTGTAATTGAAAACTGAAACATTTAAGTTGAGTTTGGAAATTGTTGCATTTATAAATTTGCATTTTGGTTTTAGTTGAAGTGGCTTTAGAGACACTCACTTATTATTTATTTAGAGAGGCTTGAGGGAAGAGTATATTTAAATATTCCAGCCTGCATGATTGTTTTTAATCACTTAGGAAGACTGATCACTTTGTGGTGACATGAGAAACTGGAGTAACTTCTTGAGGAGGGAGGTTGTTGCATTGTTCTTTCTAACCACAAAGTTTCTTAGTTTTAATATTCAGGACAATAAACAAGCAAGATTTCCGAAGGGAAGGAGCATAGTAGGATAATTTTAGCTTGTTGGTTGGCAGGACTGTCCTGCAAGCCAACACCTTTTAAATCTAGGAGAAAAAGTTTCAATCGGGATATTGACACTGGAGGTCAGAAAATATGTTTTATCTTAAGTCATATCCTCAATGTGCAGATTAATGAAAGAATTTGAAGGCTATAGTGATGTAGTATGATGCCATTTATATTCTGCAGTGAGTCGATGTGACGTAGGTAAAAGTAATTTCGTGCATTTTGTAAATTCTGTTCGATGACACTGTAACCATTTAGAACATTGCGCGATTCAATGAGGACATTGACCGGACTGTCCGGGGAGTATGTGACATTCGACCAGAATGGCCAAAATGCAGTCTCTGCAGAATTCGGTATTTTAGCAGCAAGCCTTCCGAATTGGCGATTTAGAACGGATAAGGACGTTATTTGAACGATTAGCCAAACGGTGAAGGCTAGAAGATTCTGGAATTCTAATTTTTAAAAATTCGAATTATGACGTCATATTTCTGAGAAACGTCAGAGACGGCCATTTTAGCTAAAATAGCAGAAAGAAACAGAACAACCTTATCTGCGATTACGAACAGTACGAAAATCGAGACTAAAAAACAACAACGAACTACCGAACAGCAGAGGACGTTCCGAGTTGCAACTATTGTGCTGTTACAATAGTTGCAAGGCCGTTGCGAGCAACGGTGAAGGGTAAAACCCAGCCTTCCGAGTTATTGTGAACTGGATATTAAGAAGCTTGATTCACCGGATTCAAGAATCCGGAAGGGTCTCGGGACGTGGACTTTTATGAACTTGTATTGAATTTTAGCATCCGTCATGTCCTGACTTGAATTTAATTAAGATCTTAATTCGTTTTGACAAGAATGAGGAGCTAGAAGTAGAGGGGGAAGGGATGATCCATCTTCGATGGAGATGATGATTTTTATCTACTGAACAAAAACAATAGTAATATGATAAGTAGTAGCCCTGTTTTTAGGAGTGACCTCGTGGTCTGGGGATACTGAGACCCAGCCATGAGCTCACTATTTTTGCATGTAATTCAGTTAATTTGAGCGTTCTGGTCGAAGCCGGAGAACAGTGACGTTTTTGTCGACCCGATGTAAAAAAGACCACCGAAAAGTACTGGCTTGGTAGAGACGGTGAAAAACATGCAAAGCTCTGTTTAGACGCTGGCCAGTCGTCTTAAGACTTATTTTTGTTATCCGTCGATATGTATCTTCCGGGCGAATGTTACAGGGCCTCTTTTGTAATTTGGTGTTTAGAAGATATAGACTATGTGTTGCTTACAGAGTATAGCGCTGTTGGGCTAATTTATCATTGAAAATTCAGATCATTATGAATGAAGTGGATAGAGGTGATAGACTTCAAAAACTTCTAACTCACGAAGGCAGTCAACAAAACGAAAGCTTTGTTGGACTAGAAGCGCTTGCTGATGCGTTCATTGCCCTGTATGATGAGTGTTCTCTGTCCACGCAAAAGAAGGATAAAAAGTTTTCAAGTTTTCTCGAATGGGGTAAGAATCGACCGATTAGAATTATTATGATGAAAAATTTAAGTGGCGAAAAACGAAAACTAAATTTAATTTTTTGTTAGCAAAAGACTATGCTGTCCGGTTAAAATACTATCGACTCAGTAAAGATGAATTTGACATTGTCAAGATAATAGGACAAGGCGCGTTTGGACAAGTTGCTGTGTGCAAAAATAAGCTTTCTGGAAAAGTTTTTGCCATGAAGACATTGAACAAGCACGAAATGATCAGCCGAGCTGAGGTAATTTTGTTTTCAATGTATACAATATGAAGAAAATCACGTTCTAATTTCGAAAACTTTCTGGTGTGTATTTTTAGACGGCGTGCTACAAAGAAGAACGAGATGTTCTGGTGTTCGGAGATCAGAGATGGATCACGAAACTTCATTTTGCTTTTCAAGATACGATAAATTTGGTAAGTTAGTAAACAAGTCAACAAAAAATTAGAAATATATCTATTTAAACATGATCGGGGAAATTGCTTGTACTGTTTTACTGATTGTACTGGTGCACAGTGGTCTATCTCTGAGTCGTGTAGTTCTGGAGCAATGACGGATACAATATGTCAACCCTTTTAAGTTTTTTCAGGAATTGTTATTTATGAACGCAGTGAAGACACTTAAATAGGTCGTAGTGATTTTCAGGATAAAGTCTCAAAGTTTGTTTACGCTCAAATTGTTTTTTTTTTCGCGGTTTGACTTCTAAGTTCTTTCAGATCAATTCAGTCCCTTTTTAAAAAGGAAGGCAAACTTTTTTATTGAGCTGAAAAAGGTGATCGACTTCTAATAAAAAAACGATTTTATTGAATTCCTAGCTAATAAAAAAATAATCTGTTGATCCCGTTTTTTTAAGTTGGATAAATTTGAAAGAAATTACTAATGCTGAATATTGAAAAACATTCAAAATCTTCAATCAACATTCTTTTTTCTTGAACAAAACATCAGTGGTTTGAAAAGCTTTACGGAGAAATACTCCATCATCAAAAATCTAAAAACAAAGCACCGTTGAGTGGAATGTAAAAAAGTAGATTTTGAAAAACAATGATAAAGGAGCGAGAGACTGATCAACAGTCAAACAAGAGTCATCTTCAAGAATTATCTTCTGGAGGGCATACGTCAGCGCGCGGCTCCGACACTCATCTTTCTTATTGAGACTTGGACGATTCGAGCAGTTTGACATCCTCCAGAGAAACTTGTGCATTCAGTGAAATCAATTTGAACTGGCATGCCTGCTCTTCCATGTTCCTTCATCCTCGTTGAGAGGCAAATGTTTTTCCGACATAGCTGGCAGGGCAGCCACGACAAGAAATGTGATAAACAACATTACTACGTATAGAAAAAGGAACTTTGGATTTATGCGAAGGAGTGCTGTTTTTCGGTGGTGAAATAAATATTGCAAGTACCGATAATTTTCTTGATGTTACGAGCCAAGTTCTCACTGCCTGGACCACAGTATTGAAGAGCCAAAGCAAAACGCATACAGCTTGACTTTTCAGCTGCACTAGCTTTGTTTAGTCTCAGCGCGTTTGGATAAGATGTTGTTAAGAGTCTTGCTAATGATCGATTGTACTACTGCCTTAGGATACTGGTTGTTCCTGAGAACTTTTTCGGCTTTCCGTAAAACTCTCCAATTCTTTTTTCTTTTACACTTTTCCAATCATCATCATTTATGAAAAGACAAGTTTTGCTTCTCGTTTTGATTCTAATCTATTTTTTAAGATTACTACGTTTATCCTGAAAATGATGTAATTGGATTGGTTCATAACGTTCCATGTTTTATTACATGTTATTTGATAATTAATATACAGAGTTAATGCTTTTCAATTAGTCACCGTAACTAAACGAAAGAGCCTCTTTTGTAATTTAGAAATAAGAGGGAAAAAATGAATCAATTAAGCCGAATAAAACCATTTCTTTCATATGACAGCATAATAATAAAAAAAAATACTGAAAAATAACAGATGTGCCAGCCAAGAATTTTAAAAGTGTTGAAAAATTGTCATTTTTCTTAACTTGAATTTCCTTCAATCTTCCTGATCGGAACATGCTGTGCTACTTGCACAGTAACCGACTATCTTTGTTCTATTTTATTCTGAGTTATAATGAAACAATGAGTATATGGTTTGCCTCGAATGTTCCTGATTGGCTTGCAGTGAGTCTGGCTCCAAGGATTTTTGAAAAACTTCTTTGTAGTCCTGAGATTTTGCTTGCACCATTATTTATCGAACAAATTTTCGTTTTTATTCGTATCAATTCGGATATAGGTCACGTTGATGTTTTTTTTTGTTTTTTTTTTAATTGGAAAAGTCTTAAAATTTGTTGAGGCTCAAATTTACTTATTCTCGGTTTGACTTTTGATTGCTTTTTAAGTTCAGTTTTATAACTGTTTTAATAACTCAATATATTTTACACAAATCACTTATAAATAATTTTTGAGACTTGAGCTTGTCTTTTGAAATGTGATATAAATTTTGCATCACGTGATGCGAAGCGATGATTCATCTGCGCTCCCCAAGGTCAAAACTTGTTTTCTTTGACAGGAAACGAAATCAGGTTGTTGCTTTCAGCATGAAACTGTCTCATTTCGTTCGTGTACGAAGCGGATCCAGTGGTTTAAGATGGAAGATGTTATATACTTCTAAAAAATTTATTTCAAATAGCAAAACAACAACTGAAGCATGAAACCAAGATAGCACCGGGAGTGAAAGAGTGCACCATATGGGAAATCTATCAGATAAAAAGGCCAGATGTTGGCAATGACATGATAAGAAATTCGCAGAAAGTGAGATACAAGGTAACAGAGAATTAGAGGGTCATAAAAACTTCATCGAGAGAAGCTTGAGGGCGTAGAGTTCCGATGACACATGCTGCGTTAGACATCTGTATGCAAATTGATATTCTTTGCCTAAGGAAGGCAGAAGCACGGGCTTCGTTGGTGGAATCTTGAATCAGCTTGCCGAGCTTAGAAAGAAAACGTTTGGTGTCTGGTCCTGCGCCTCCTTGTATTTCGAATGCGACAGGCTGAAACAAGTATCCTCTGTTGATGATTTCAGTGTATTTCATTCTTTTCGTCTCTTCTGCTGTAGTCGCTGCTTTCAGGGGCTCGAATGAGTCAATTCTACTACTGCACAATGCGTCCACGACCGTGGCATCCCATACCCTGGGTTGGCCTCTGGACCAAGGTGTAAACGTGAGCCCATCCGGCCTTTTCCGATATGCGCGGCAAAGTCCAGGGGGTTCTAATACCGAGTGTATGTTGGCGCTGGCAAGACCCCTCTTCACTATGTCATTCAACATCGAGTGGCGAGTATGACGGCCGGCGCTCATTTTGCAAGCCAAACCATGGTGGCCATCTTCAGAGACTTCTTTACCGCATCGGCATTGGTGGGGTTCGCACACTTTGCCGCCCAAACGCAGTGCCACACTGCTGCGGAGTTGGATATCTGTGAGTTTCAAGCCCAAGTTGGATGATGGCAGAGCCTGCAGCCAGCTTCCCGCCATCTTTCCAGAGTAAGCTTCTATTCTATTGTGGTCTGTCAATGATTAGTTCTCAAGCATCGAGGTTCTTAGGTTCTCGAATACTGGCCAAGTCCAATTCTTTTGGGTGCTTCTATTAGTTGGTGGAAGTGCTTGTGCAGTATCACCCCAGAGTTCCAGAGCAGTTTCTTCGTCGCCTGTTGGTCCGGTACAAGTGGAGATTTGGTCTGACAAAGCAGCGCAAGAGCTCGCGGAGAATAGAAATAAGGAAGTCGCAAGCAATGACGCAGATGGCAGACACAGGCCACCCACTTTAACAGGCAGACAGGCTTGGATGCGAGAAGAATCTGTAAGTTGAACATTGGTCTTTTTTTCCAGTGTTGAGGTCAGAATGGAATCATAGTTGGAGAGTATGTCGGGGTGCATGAAGCACGGTGACGTGCGGAGCATAAATTTCAATTTCGGTATACTGAACGAGTTTTTCAAAACAAAAAGCGCCGAGTGTGCCTCGATTTCGACCAGGCGTTCGCTCAGTAGCTCAAGATCTTTAGAACGTTTGGTCAATTTGTCTAGGACACAGTCAACACCCATGCCTGCACCAAGGATGCACAGGTCATCCAGTGGAGTCTTTTGTATAGCAGGGCAGATCGTGTTGAATAGTTGCAGTATTTTGAGTTTGAGCTCTTCACTCGGTGAACCTAGGAAAGTTAGCTCACATTTCGAAGGCTTAGCTTTCAGGCCAAGCATACGAGCGCGCTCTATCACCAGTTTCAAGTCCTCGAAAACTACCCGGAACTTATCAGCAAGATTCCCATCTTCCAGATACCAGAAGTTAAGAGCAGAAGTCAGCGAATGAATCTTGTCGTTAATCGTATCACAGAACATGGGTGGCCCCTCCGGGTCTCCTTGTTGAGCTCCTTCATCTGAGTTCAGAATATGAGATCCAAAGAACAGATAGGAGGTTGTCTATAGGCTGAGAACGCAAAATTTTCAGGCGAGGGTACTTTTCGCTAATGTTCTCCAGCATGTGTTGCCTTGAGATTGAGTTGAAAGCATTTTCGAAATCAATTTTGACTAGAACGTGTTCATCGCTGCCTGGAGAAGATAGGAATTTGCGGGTGGCATGGACTGCCGCCTCACATCCATTTCTGGTGCCGAAGCCCAGTTGAGTAGATCCATATGAACATCTTCTTTGTTCTAATAGTTCGTGGTCTTTGCCGGCACACTTCGCTGCCAATCGGCAACACATAGCAGTGTGTTGCCGACTGCTATGGGCCAAACGCAGGAAGAAGGTTTTTTTGAGTGCGAACAAGTTTGCCCCGAAAAAGAAAGGTCTGATATCAATCGGTACACCACCGCTCAAGATGATATTTGTGAGCCCGGTCAGGTCTTCAATCAGTTTGTTTGATGTTTCGTTACACATTCCAATCATGTCTTTGATAATTTGGGCCTCAATTTATCAGGCCCACCGGCTAAGAATTTATACAAGAGTGAACCGTAGAACCCACAGTAGTGATACATTCTTGTTCTTTGTTTCCCTGAACAGCATAGGCGAACTTGTGCCGGGGGTGTTTTTCTTCCATCTCATTTACAATTTTGAGTGTAATTTCAGGCATCGTGTCATTGCGTGAAGCTATCCGTATATACCTCGGATATTGCCACTCTCTGTTTCCCTTTTCGGCTTCGCCTTTTTTTTCGGCTGCTCCGGAACCTCAGCTGTGCCGGAAAAAAGATCTTATAGCTGAGTTGACTGAACTGGTGAGGTTAGTTCGGTGTTTTTTCCCTCCTCTGTCAGTCGCCTTCAGACAGTGGGCGGGGATACTCTTAAGCTTCAGCCAATTGGAAACTTCGTCAGGGTGTTTGGAGATATCGATGATAACTTCGCTATAGAGACAGGCTAAGTTGACTCTTGCTCCTTTCGGGACATGTTTGAGTATGGGGACTTTAGCGGAGAGCAGCTTGCGGAGATAGGTGGAAGCCTCGGAATCGGGAGGGACGTTCTCTATTCTTAGATATCCCATTAGTTGAGAAAGGCCGCTAGACTGGTGCTCGGGCGCGCTACCAGTATGAGTCAAGTCCTGTGGAGGGATATCATCAGCCAAGACAACTGAATCCGGTAGGCAGCGGTTGCAGATCAAGCCTGGCTTCCAGTGTTTATATTAATTTGCCTCTGAGTGTTATATTAATTTGCCTCTGAGTGAAAAGTTTCTGGAAATTAGGATATAGTATTCTACACATATCGCTAACACTTAAGTCGTAGCTTGGTTTAATTAAAGATTATCTTGAGCTTTGGCATTTTTTAAAGCTCACAGTTCGCTGCATCGCAGTTGGTGCGAATTTATACTTCGCCTCAAATGCGATGCAGCAAACTGTGGCTCAATCCATGGAAGATGAATTAACATTGGATTGAGCGCAGATATGAATCATCGCAGGTGCTAAGCTATGCTTCGCCTCTTGTAATTTTCCTGCAGTCTGTTGACTGTTTTTTTTTTGTTTTCACGTAGTTTGCGAATAGCTCTTTAACCGGTTTTTATTAATTATTTGATAAGTAATGAACTAAGTGCTGTTTTTTTAGTACTTAATCATGGATTATTATCCCGGCGGAGATCTGTTGACGTTGCTGAGTAAGTACGAAGACAAGTTTCCTGAAGACATGGCTCGCTTCTATGCCGCAGAAATGACCCTGGCAATTCATGCGTTGCACACATTGGGCTATGCGCACAGAGATATAAAGCCAGACAATGTTCTGTTGCACAATTCAGGTCACATCAGACTTGCCGATTTTGGATCCTGTCTCAAGCTACATGAAGATGGTTTAGTGCATTCCAATGTAGCTGTTGGGACGCCAGATTACATTTCACCTGAAATTTTAAGGGTATGTTCTCATAAAGAAATTTGAAATGTGGAAGCAAGTAACTGGACTGCTAATTTATACCATTGTATGTCATTGCCCTATGAATAAGAAAGTTGTATAAAAAAGTAAATCTTAAAGCAGAAGAAACATTTGTATTTTTCTTTGTAAGTTTGAAACAAGATACGTTTTGGGAAGCATAAATGAATTGTTTTGAATTGCGAAACATTTACGACTACTAACTGGAGTACGATTTATATTGGGCACGTTTTTTGTGTCGTTTCTTACCTTGTCGGCATACTGTTAGGCACAAGAAGATGGGATGGGACGCTACGGAGCTGGCTGCGACTGGTGGTCCCTGGGAGTGGTGGTGTTTGAGATGCTGTTCGGAGAGACCCCTTTCTACGCCGAGTCATTAGTGGAGACATATGGGAGAATCATGAACCACGAGGACTCATTCAAGTACCCAGACGATGTTCAAGTTTCGGAAGAAGCTAAAGACCTGTTGTTGAAGTAAGGATTTTGATGGCACTTTTGCTAAAATCACGATCTGTAGCATTGGAAATTTCATAGGAACTATTCTCTGCTTTATTTGTAGTTAGGGTTAGGGTTTGGGTTTGGGTAATAGTAAGCGTCCGTGGCTGAGTGGGTAGTGCGCGAGACTCGTAATATTTAGGTTGGAGGATCGAATCCGATACGTGGCCAAGTTTTTACTAATTTGAGGCTTATTTCTACTTCTTTTTTCACTTCATAGAGCTGCTTTTTGACATTTGCTAATTCGTGTTGTTTTCTTGACTGTTTTGAACTTACTCAGTTTATATACCCTTTTTTAGGTTCCTGTGCAAAGCAGAGAAGAGATTTGGCAAGAATGGACTGGGAGAGATAAAAGAACATCCATGGTTTGCAAACTCAGTTGATTTTGACACAATTCATACTGCAGCACCGCCCTACCATCCGGACATCAAAGGACCCGAAGATACTTCGAACTTTGACATTGACGAAACAGACATCAAACGACTACAGGTTCAGATCAGATATCTTAAATGACAGAGTGCTCTTCTTTAATTGAATGAATTTGAAAGACAAATACAGGAATTGACTTTGTATAAATGCGAATGAACGAACAGAAGTCATTCATTGAGGTCATGTTGATGTTTTTTGTTATTCAGGCACGATTTTAAAAACACTCTTGCTCAAATTTGACTTTTCGCGGTGTCATTTGGCTTCTTCGATTCAAATTCATGTGTCCTTCTCTTTCTTTTTTTCTTTTTACAACTAAATTTTGGCTTTTTGTGGGTTTTGTTTATGAAGTGGAGTTTCGCCTCTGTGTCTCAATTTGAGCTAGTTTTATCGAAAAAAAGTTAATCAAACATGTTTTTGAAAATGCAAAAGCTTTTTGATATATTTTTCTCAACTTTAGTTGAGAAATTTCATTAAAATCAGTAATTTTTTTTTTCGGAAATCATCTGCTCAATTGAATAAATTTTGACGTTGTTGGTAAAACTCATTGAATAGCAAACTGCATCATGCGAATTTCGCTTTGGAATTTTTTTGAATGTTTTAGCTGAAGGTTGAGTTAATTAAAGCTTTGATATTTAATAGTCAAGTCTGTTTCACGTTTAGGGTTTTATCGTTAGTATCTGGAAATCTGTATTTGCTGTCATTCTGATTTTAAACTTTTACAGTTCTTAAGAAGCTATTAAGAGATAATGAAGCTTACAATTTTGAAATGATTTTAGAATTCACTGTCGTCCAGAACTCTTCCTTCCGTCTTCTCCGGAGAAAGTCTGCCCTTCATTGGGTTTACGTTCACATCTACTTTGTAAGAAAATTTTTTTTTATTTATTCTTTTTTCAATTAATTGATTTCAAAAAGAATACGCCGACCGCTGAGTTAAACGACTCGCCGAAAGATGATCTCTCTATATTTTTCTTTAAAAAAAACCAGTTGCGTATTGTCTCGCAAATAGGTCCATCAAACTTGAGGAGAGTGGGGGCTGAAAAAAACTGTCGATTGTTTCGAAAAATTTACTAGGATGGGGAAATCTTTAGATTAATAAAATGTTTTAAATCTTTTCAATGTTTAAATCTTTTCAAGAAAGTGCGGAAAATCAATTTTGTTGAACCATAAGAAGGCATTTCATTTTGAAATATCTGGGCTCCGCGCCCTCAAGAATATCCTAGATCCGCCTATCATTTGAGACTCCTCGTCTTGTTTTGTAGTAAGCTCAATGACAAAAATCTCCGCCTCGGAACAGAAACAACTAGTGGTTCTCAAGAAGATTTAGTTGACACTCATATGACCAACGGCTTCTCCGGTGCAAATTTGCAACATTTGAAGGCAGACAAGGAGAAGTTGGAAAAGAAGTGCTCAGGTATGAAAATTCAAAAACATCAATCATTAGCTGGTGATACTTTATGTATATTGACAGAATTGATTAATCGTTGCATACATTTTGGAGAGGGAGTGCAATTCTTGAAGCCACTTCTACAATTTGACCGTATACTTAGAACATGTTTTTTTTATATTTTGACAAAAAATAGACTCAGGTGTTCTTGAGTATTTTGGTACTCTACGCTTGCTTCTAGAACCTACAGTGACATCACCATTAAAACAGTATTGGTTTGGCTGAATTAAATGAAAGTCTAGCTCCAAAAAGAAAGCGTCCTTGGTGCGAGACACTATCATGACAGGTGATCGACTTATTGATCTGACGATCTCAATTTTACGTTTAGAGTTGACGGCGGCATTGGACAAGGCGAGGAACCACGAGAGAATCAACACTCTGTTGAGACAGGAGAAGGTGAAGTTGAAGGATGACCTAGAGAATCTGTACAACCAGATGGGCCAGCAGAGCAAGGAGCTGAGGGAGGCACTGCAGGCCAAGAAACTGGCCAGCCAAGACCACTCTGACATGACACTCAAGTGAGTACTAGATTAGAGCAATATTTTATGCATTGTGTCTTCTTTTCAATTGCATTTGCCAAAATCACGGTAAAAGTCACCTAAAGAATTGGGTTATAAATAAAAACCAGAACGCAAAAGTCCGTAAAAATTAACTTCATTAGGTCATAATTGAGTTCGCGCCTTTTAGCCAACCGTTAAGTTGACTTTGAGGACAATATTGGAGAAATCTGTTGAATCTTTCTACTCGAAATACAAGCTATTTGGAATAAGTCTTAATCATAATCATATACGACAGACTCCTTAATGAGTATCGTCAGCCCAATGAGAGGGTAATGTGTTTTAGACTGAGTGATGCTCAGAAAGAGAAACAGAAGCTAATGAGGGTGTTGAGGGACAAGGACGAGGAGCTTGAGGAACTGAACGCGAAGGTGGACCAGATGTCAACACAGCTGAGGACTGCCAATGCAGACAGACGAAAAGTATTTTACTTATGCCAGATTCTATTCTAAAGTTTTTCACTGGGCTTCACGTTTCTAAGTGACAAAAAACGAAGTGATTTTTAGATATAGAGGTTTTGATGATTTTTAGAGCCGATGAACGTAGTTCAGACTCTTATATAGGTCGCGATGAGTTTTTTGCTTCAGAAATTGTCTTCAGGCTCTAATTTAACTTTTCGCGGTTTGGATTTTGATTTCTTTTAAGTTCAGTTAATTTCTTTTGTTAAAAGGAAGGCAAACTCTCCTTTATCGAAGTGCAAAGGCTACAAAAAACTTGATCGTCTTCAATTTTCGAAAGTCTAATTTAGTAGATTTCCCAGTGGAACAAAAAATTTACCTATTGATCCAGTTTTCTCAAATTGGGTTTATTTTATCGACAAACGCCAAGCATACAGTGTTCTAGAAATTCAAAGCGCTTAGTTTTTTTCAGCGTAATGAACTTTGTGAAGACTCTTAAATGGGTCTTGGTGATTTTTTTTCGCGTTTTTTCAGGAAAAAGTTTTAAAATGCTCCAATAACTACAGATGTGTATTCATACATTTTAATGCCTTTATGATTGCACTTAGGTATATTTGCACTTTCTGAGTTTAATTGAAATTCATCTGCTGAAAGTTGCGTAAATAGCACTCGCCAAATAATAACGTGGAATTGACACGAAAAACCGTGAACGATTTCTAGTTTCGAAAGTGGAATTTAATTTTTAGATTGTCATGAAGTGTTCTAGAAAGTTAAAAAGCTTATAGGGCATCTATTGTTTGAAATACGAAAGGTCAGATTTTTTCAAAAAAGTCACTGTTTTTTTTTTGTTTTCTTGCGTTCATTACTCTTTTCTAACTGCCAGTTGGCCATGTTCTTTGAAATTCGAAAGTTAGATTTTTTCAGAAATTAAATCAGTTTTTTTTTGTTCAATTGAGGTCATTGACTCCTTTACAACTGTCTTTTGGCTACGTTGTTTGGTTTTGCAGTCAATTTAGTACGCCGTGACTCTGAAATGTATTAAAGGTTAATGCACCCAGTGAAGACTCTTATTTAGATCTTGGGGATTTTTTCCGGCAATTTTTTTTGAGTTTTCAGTTCATTTGTATTGTTAAAAGGAATGCAAACTACACTATCGAACAGCATAAGTGTACAGATTACCAAAAAATGCAATCGGCTTCTAGTTTCGTAAGTGGATTTCAATGTTCAGATTTCTCAGCGGAATTAAAACTTTTTTGATTGGGTAAAAGTTGAGTCTAAAAAGCACTAATCATAAACTGCACTTGAAAATCAAGGAGCTTTATGGGCATATAATTTTTCGTTAAAACTCGAATTAGTTTTTTTTTCTGTTTAATTGCGTTCAATACTGTTTACAAACTGTCAGTTGGTTATAATTTTGTATCGCAAGTGGAGCGAAGCTCTGTATCACATCTGTCTGTTTTCTTCAAAAGTTAACGTTGCAAAGTATTTTGGCTAAATATCAGTTTTGTTTCTTTTATTTTAAAAATTCATGATGTCAATAAATACCGACATTCTAGCTTAAAACTTTGATTTTAATTTAAATTAATCTAAACTTTCATTTTAAAATTCAAATTAATTTAATGGGGACCCAAAAGCCTCAATATCTTTGAGTTCCGTTTCAGCTTGAAAACGAGCTGGATGATTCAAAACTAGAACTAAACAGGGAAAAGAGACTCCGGATGACTTACGAGGAAGATGTGAAGCGTCTAGAGGGAGACTTGGACTCTGCGCAGGAGCGAATGATGCAGAGGACTCCAGGAGTGAACGAGTACTTGCAGGAAAACCAGAAGTTGAAGCAAGTGATGGAGCAGAATGCAGAGGAGCATAGCAATGAAATGAAGAAGTTGGAAAACAGAATGGAGGTGAGATTTGAAACGTGATAATTAGACAGTTTGTCTGTTGTCTGATTTTTTTAGTGAAGACACCTATTAGGTCGCATTATTGTTTTTGTTTTTTTTTTCTCAGGAAAATGTATTAAAACTTGTTCTTATCAAATTTGATTTTTTTGCGGTTTGACTTTTGATTTCATTTGTAGTTCAGTTCAAATCATTTGAATTTCGGGGACTTGACATGGATTTCATGTTAATTTGCTGATAAGTAGGCAAATTGTGCTCTCCAATTACGAAATTGCAAATGGCGCAAAAAAGAAATTTGAATGAAAGGTTCGAAAGTGAGTTAAAATTTTTTAATATATTTTTAAAAAAGTCAATTGGTTTTTTTAGTTCCTTTGTTATTTTTTTAGAGTTCATTGTTATTTTTTCAATAATTTGTTGGCTATCTTTGAATAATTTGTTGGCTATCTTTAGAGGATTTTGGTAGCTCATATTTAATCGGACCGAATGATTAGAGTTTCGCATGAAGACAAAAAGGTGTACTTTTTCGATGTTTTCGATTGATGTTTTTGACGTTCGATGTTTTTGGTCCTCAACAAAACCTTCACATCGACGCATTAACCGGCAATAAACAGTATTTTCAGCCCTCGCAATCATTCACCCTTTTAGGAAGTAAGCGCTGAGCTTTCTGAAAGTGAGAGCAGTCGAGCTGACCTGAAGAAAGACTTGTTGCTTCTGAAGCACAACCTGGACTCCACTAGGGAGCAACTGGTAGACCGTGAAACACGTCTGTCCAGACTGCAATCTGACAAGTCACAGCTACTGCACCAGGTAAACTGATATAGTTATACAGCAATGTCAATACGAAGTTTTTTAAAATGAATCTAAGCCGTGCGCGTTGTGTTGTGCCTTTCGCGTCGAAATAAAGGAATTAGATAGATGATTTTTTTTTATCATATACCATGTCTTCCGCGTCGAAATAATCGAGTTCAAGTCGCCAGAAGATAGATGACAATTATCATAATTCAAGTATTCCACATTCAATTTCATCGCTAAGTGTCTTTTCCTGACAAAGTTCTTTCAAACGTTGTGTATATTTGTTCTAGGTGGACAAATATGAGATTCAGATAAAGTCCCTGATGGAGACTTGTTCGAACTTCGAGGCAGAAAACAAGAAACTCAATCAGAAAGTGTCAGTCGAAGAAGAGTTTGATAAGGACGTGGAGAGCATTGCGCGATGGTGCGAAAATTTGTCGTTTCTTAATCAAAGACGTTTCTTTTTTTTATTTTTTTTTTGGATTTATATTAAAATCAAATTAATTTTTTTAGCTAAAATAAGCTCTGCATAATTTTTCCCCAGCGTCATTGAATCATTAAGAAGTCAAGATTGTTATTTCTGAAAATTTTAGGGTAAATGACGAGAAAGAATCTCGGCAATACCTGGAAGACCTCACACGACTTTTGAAAGACGACATGGACCAACTGAAACAAACAGTTCTAGTTGGTGCAACCACGCCGAACAAGAGAGCAGGAGGGGGAGATGATATCACGTGGCAGCAGAGAAGGAACAATAAAGTGGATAAAAAGGAGCTTTTACAGCTGACATCATCATTAGATCACGAGATAAAAGCCAAGGAGGAGGTGACAAGAGAACTGAACGAAGCTAGAGAGAAGGTACGCGGTATTATAAATATAAATATTAATTGGTCAAACTGAATACCGTCTGTTTAAGTTTGGGTCGTGTGGTTTTTTAGACCATTTGTTTTGCTCAAGTTTTATCTTTCGCGGTTTGATTTTTGGTTTTTAAGAGGACTGAACGTAGTGAAGACTTATATAGGTCTGATTTTTTTTATGTTTCAGGAAAGTCTTAATTTTTTTCACGCTCAATTTTGATTTTTCGTGGTTTTGATTTTTCGTGACTCTCGTTTCTTTGTGTACGAAGGGATGCAGTGGCTTAAGGTGGAAGATTTAATACTGTTTCGCAGATTGACTTTTGATTTCTTTTTAATTTCGGTGCATTTCTATTGTTAAAAGGAAGGCAAACTCCAGTATCGAACAGCAAAATTGTGAAGCTCACGAAAAACTTGATCAAATTCTAATTTTGAAAATGGAAATTATTTATCAGATTTCCCAGCGAAATAAAAGTTTTACCTTTTTGATCCATTTTTCTCAAATCGGGTTAGTTTTAACAAAAAAAGTGTCAATCAAAAATTGTTCCAGAAATTCAAAAAGCCCTAAGGCCATCTTTTTTGATATTTAAAAAACAGGTCATGTTAGATAGATATCATTTTATAAATGAACCAAAACATTTATCTGTCTGGTTTGAACATTTCAAAAAGAATCCAACAAACTCACTTTCACTCAAGTCGGTTTTAAATATTTTTCGAGAATGAGGCTAGTCTTTTGAAATTTGACGTATACTTTTGCATCGCCTGTGATGCATGTTTGCTTTCCCCAAGATCGAAATGTTTTTCTTTTCACCGGAATTATTGTAATAATGGTTATTTTCAGCATAAAACTCGTTTCTTTGTGTACGAAGGGATGCAGTGGCTTAAGGTGGAAGATTTTATATTAATTTGCCTCTTAGTGAGAATTCATTTACCACTAACTAGGCCTTGGTGATTTTTTCAGGAAAAGTTCATAAAATTTGTTGACGCTCAATTTTGATTTTTCGCTGTTTGACTTGTAGTTTTTTCTAAGTTTACTTCATTTACTTTGTTGAAAGAAAGGCAAACTCCACCGTTGAACAGCAAAAATTTAAAGGTCAAGAAAAACGTGATCAACTTTTTATTTCCATAAATGGAAATAAATTATCAGATTTCCCAGCGAAATAAAAGTTTTACCTATTGATCCAGTTTCTCAAATTTGGTCAATTTAAACAAAAAAGTATTAATCAAAAATTGTTCCAGAAATTCAAAGAGCCCTAAGGCCATCTTTTTTGATATTTAAAAAACAGGTCATGTTAGATTGATATCTTTTTATAAATGAACTGAAACATTGATTTGTCTGGTTTGAACATTTCAAAAAGAATCCAACAAACTCACTTTCACTCAAGTCGGTTTTAAATATTTTTCGAGAATGAGGCTAGTCTTTTGAAACCCATGATGACTAATTTCGCAAATGGAATTTAATTGCAAGATTACCCAGCGAAAAAAAGTTTTAACTATTGATCCAGTTTTCTCACATTGGGTTAATTTTATCAAAAAAGTGCCAATAATAACTTGTTCCAGAAAATCAAAGAGCTTTAAGGGCATCTTTTTTTTTGAAATTGGAAAGTTGAGATTTTTTTGAAATTTAAGTCAGTATTTTTTTTACTTGCGTTCGCGGACTCTTTTCCAACTGTATGTTGGCTATGTTCAACCTTGCGATTAGGTATAAGTTTATTCTTGTGTCAAAGGTCCTGGGTTTGTATCTTACAGAACCTGTTTTTTTTGCAAACGGTCTTATTGGCCTTATTTTGAGTTGTTTGCATCGAAACAGAATTTCTTTGCTCATCTCTGCATTGAACAAATTGCTTAAGTCTTAAAAGAAATGAAAGTTCAAGTTTTCCATGACAACAATTTTGTTCTTTTACTTTTTTTCTCGGCTTGATATGTTCGAACTATATTTTATCAGCTTAATGGTCTCATATTGCGTCTAAAAATTTGTTTGTAGATGTGTATGTTTCTAGGGTGTGCTTAGCTGTTTTCGGCTTTGTTACCGCTTGGTAAGTTTTCTTCCGATGCTTATTTCACATTCTACTGTCGTGGCATGTTTTTGGTTCAAAATTATTCTTATTCATTCTGATAGATCTAGTTTTTTTCTCGATTTTTTTTCCGATTTTGTTTCCGACTTAGCGGCTGTCTTGTTTTGTATCAGATGAAAGCGCAATAATGAGACTTAACAGTTTTTTTAATGATAATTTTGTCGAAGAAGTTATTGAGGAGGTCAGCCTTTCTGCAATGTTTGGCTTATTTAGTCGGAAAATTGAAAATATGTGGAACTGTTTTTCTAATTTTTTTAGTCACGACCTATCCGGCTTCAATTTGATATTACACTTGACCCCCGTATGAGCTCTGCTTGTGGAAAAAAAAGTCAAAAAAGGGCTCTGCGTGCTAATTTTGTACCACTCTTCGAAAATGGTCGGAACAAAAATCATAAGCTTCAACAAGCATAAACAGAAAGTCAACAGGTAAAGTACGGAGGGACTAATAAGTTGAAAATGAAGCAGCCAAGTGAATAAGGTTGAAAGAAGTTTTCAATTGCACTGCCAGCTCTGAAGATAGAATTAAGTTATCAAGCCATAAGAGAAAATTGGCAAGGTGGATAATCGATAGTGTTAGAAGTTTTTAATGAAATCAAAAGGACCAACCATAGATCAAAGGAAAAGTTGAGGGTGAAATCGTACATTGCAATGCATAAGAAACTTTTTTGATCGTCGTTTCTGGATTCAGTGTTTATTTCATCATGTTTGAAGTTAGCAACCTAATAATGGATTGCTGTCAGGTTTCCCCCGCGGTTGTGAATTGTGCCTCCAATTATGTATACCCAAATCCTTTTAGTTACAAGATACGACAATTTTTGTGATTTTTAAAAAGCTAAGTTTGAAATTTTCAAAACTGCTGTCAGTGGCTGCAAATCTTGCCTCAAAATGTGACGGCTCAAACCCTTTTCAGTTTCCGAGATATAGTATTTTTTAGTGATTTTTTTTTTTCAAAATTTTCAAAGAACTTAAATTTAAAAGATATCACATTTGAAATTCCCAACCCTGAAGTTGGGGTGCTGTCATACTATTCTCAGGAGTTGCAAATTTTGCCTCCAAATTTGACTGCTCAATTGCTTTTTTTTCTAAGTAGGTATCATAGTAAGGTTTAAGTCAGGGGGAGGTTTTTCAAAAAATTTTATCAACCTTTTTTAGGTCGACTAATTTGATTTTGCGAGCTCTCCGAAAATACTAAAAGAACAGTCAAAATTTTTTGGAGCAGCAGGCAAGTTTAAACAAAAACTTTTTAAAAAATTACTACAAAATTGCGATGTTTCGGCGCGCGCGCTCGCCCCTCAAGTTTAGTTATGTTGGCGCCAAAGGCGCCTTTAGAAGATTTTTGGAGTTGGCCAGCCAAAAATGGACCTTTGGGAAAATTTAGCAAAACGATTTGAGGGGGGGGGGGAGGCGGTCGCCCCATAGCCCGCTACTGGTTTAAGTACACTTTTTGGAATGATAGATAAAAAAATATTCAAGAGCTAGATAAAAATTTGTTAAGTCTGTCCAATGTTTTTTTGTTTGTTTTTTCAGACCTTGACAACCTTTTTTTTCTTGGAAAAATTTCAAATTTATCAATTTCTGCAATTTAGTGAACATTGAAGATTTTAAAATAGATGTCAAAGCATTGTCGATCCAAAACTGATTAGCCCATGCAATACAGTTTTATTCAATTCTCTATATGATCAAAAGTTAATCTTTTATCTGTTCCAACACATCCGACGCATAATAATTTTTACGCAACGTGTATTATGAATCACAGTCGACTTCTTGTTGCAAAAAGCGGACAGTCAAAAACCGTAATAGTTAATAAAAGATTACGAAAGCTAGTTTTTAAAATCACAATTCACAAACACAAAAAAAAGCGTCAGTGAACGTCACTAATTAATCATTTTCAGTATTGATTATAAATACATAACACATTATTACGGAACTCTCTCGGTGTCAAATGAAAGCGATCTGAAATGTTTGCTAGTCAGACTAAATTGATTTCTTAGAAATTCCGTAGTGACCATAAAACGCATGTTTCTTGCCCATTTAGGTGAAAAAATACAGTCCCGTATGTTGACAATTAAGATTTACATCGCTAGCTGAAGTTATTTTATAGACTAAGCAGATGACTTGTGCAATCTCTTACTACGATGGTGGTTCGAATAAACAAATAGTTACATTGAGGTCCTGGAGTTAACTTCTGAATTAATAGCCTAGTTTGAGTCACATCGCGGAGTAATTTGAAAACCTATAACAAATCTTCTTACTAATTACCGCTTAGAAGCAAATTAGCTGTTTAATATTCGGTGATACGACTGCTTTATGTATTACTACTACAGTGCTATCTATGACTTTGAACTTAGCGAACAATACAAGTACGAGCAGATGAAATGAATCACTAGTTCAGTCTTAGTTGAAAATCATCTTGATGACACAAATCAATTTCAATGTATTCCGTTAATTTAAGGTCATGACTTTGGAAGAGAAACTAGACGATTATGAACGAGAGCTAGACATTCTCCGCGAGCACATGAATTACTGTAACAATAACAACGAGTTTTCGACCGACCCAGAAAACGATATGAGAGATGCTCTAAACGGTGTCGACAATGGATATTTAACAATCAACACCTGTGGGACAGTGTCGCGGAACGTATCCGATATGTCATTTCTTCATTTTCTTAATGACCCAATGGCAGCTTTGGGACAAAAATATCCCGAAACATCATCAGCTGTCGGAGCAGTTGATTACTCGCCTAGAATGCAAACACCTGTTAGGGATAATGAAGATGCTGAATCTATGAATCATCGACAATCAATGTCACCGGTTGCTGATGTATCGCACCCAGGAGCCCCACCGATTCCAGCGAAAGTTCCTCTAATGTCGCAACATCAGTTATCGGTCAATACCAATGCATCCGACTCTCAATCGAGTTTAACTCCAATCGAATCTGCACAATTTCAATCTAGCCAACACGGCAGCAACAGACCTTTTTCGACAAATCGATCAGTTTCTTCACCTACAGGAGGATCAACGATGACAAATCACATGATGATGCACTCTCCGAGAAGTGTGACTAGTCAAACACAGCACAAGTTTGAAGGTCACACGTTATTGGAACCCACCAAATGTTGTCATTGTATGTCTCTTATGCTGGGACTAGCGCGACAAGCTGTCAAATGCACCTCGTGCTCTTTTATGTGTCATCCAAGATGCGTAGAGAGTTTGCAGCACAGTATTTGCCCGATGCCAGCGGAACAAATGAAGTCACATCTAGGGATTGATCCGCAGACGGGAATTGGAACTGCCTACGAGGGATACGTGAAGATTCCAAGAAGTGGGGGCGGGGTTAAGAAGGGATGGGTGCGACAGTATGCGGTGACGTGCGACTACAAGTTCTTTTTGTTCGATTGTGTCGAGAATGGCGGGAAGAGTCTGTCGAACAGTTCCAGTGGCTCAAATAGCAGTCAGGGTTCGAGTGGATCAGTCAGGAAGACTCTGAAGATCACAGAATGTATTGATATGAAGTAAGTTTTGTTTATTTCAGTTTGATTTCAGTCAGAGCGCAAATAATAAATCTGCAAGTTTGTAAAACAAATTTAGAAATTTTGAGGTTTTTGTTGGCGCTAACTTCTTCTAATTTCGTGGAGATCAATTTGAGGGGATATTTTATGAGTTTTTTGGCAATGCCAAAGAAAGGTTTTTTGAATTCGGTTTTGGAAACGTATTTGTGGTTTTAGAGACGAGAACTTTTCTGTGAGTTCAGTGACCCAGAATGACGTGATCCATGCGAGCAGGAAAGACCTGCCGTGTATCTTCAAGATCTGTGGCAGCAGCACCAGAGCCCCCACCCTCACCAAACACACTGTGCTCTGCCTGTGTGACAGCGAAGAGAAGTGCAACAAGTGGATTGCGGCTCTGAGGGAGTTGTACTCTTTGTTAAACAAACACAATCTACTCGCACCACCGGTAAGAGTTCAGAGTATTTTCTCAGATGTGTAGAACATGCAAATTATCAAGGAAAAACATCCGAATGATCAACAGTTGCTTGGAGAGTGATTGATAGAAGTATTTATGAATCGACAAGGAGAAGCGAAAGAGTTTCAGTTTAATTGACTGACTGTTCTAAGGTTTTGGAAGCCAAAGAGGTGTTGGATAACTCATTGTCTCTCCTGAAGTTTGCATCTTGCGCAACTCTAATAGGTAAATCTTAAAGTGGTTCTGAAATTTTAATTTCATAATTAGTCATATTGCCGAGTTTCCAAAACAGGTGTGACTTTTTTTTCAGATCCGAATCGAATTGCCATTGGGGCCGAAGAGGGTTTGTTCTGTGTCAATCTTCTTAAAGACAGTGAGTATCACCATGAATACTATATGATACTCTGTTGCATCTGATTATTCTTCCTTTATTGTACGATATTCGGTGTGAATATTTCAGGCATGAAAGGTAACTAACTAAGTGTTGTTTTCCACATATTTTGCGCTTGACCTTTCTTCTCCGTGTTAGCCCTAAATTATAATTTCTGTGTCAAATGGCAAGTGTGAATTTTTGAAGAATTGGTCGCAGTATTGATCTGTTATCCTGATGTCGCGGTTCCATGGAAAAAAGTTTTGCTACCAGTCTCTAGTTGGTGATGGGGTTGGGGCCTTAATGATGTGTTTGTCTCAAGCGAGTATTCGATTTACGAGTTTATTTTGTTCTACGATCTAGTTCCTTGATTTTCCCTTCAGATCACAGCAAGGACATCGAAGCACGTGGTTTTGAATTAGTCTTCGTATTTTTTTGTACTGTGTACTTGCATGTTTTTAAGGGAGTTTCGTTTCAGCCATCTGCAAACTGGGTGACTCGAAGAAAGTGGTTCAGGTGGAGATCATCAAGAGCCAGAGTGACTCCCTCCACAGCATGCCAGACTCTTTCGTCATCCTCTCGGGTGCATACTTCGATTTATGTCCAATCTATTGCTATGTGCAAACACAATGCTAAAACACTTTTATGGCATAATTGGTGATACGATTGGTCCTATATTTAATAAATAGAAGAACTTTGTATTATTGCTTACTGATTAATAATAATCTGGCGAAAAGTGAAAAATGAGGTTCACTTACTTAAGAAAAAAGAAATTGCTAAAATAAGGATTTCAAAAACTTTGACAATTTTAGGAAAGACGAAGCAACTCAAACTGTTCCCTACCTCAGTCTTGGACGGCCACGAACTAGACGTGATCAAGATACCAGACTCTAAAAACTGCTCTCTCTTCACAATGGGACAACTACCTCCCCACCCGACCACAGGTCAAAGTGGGGCTAATCTACTCTGCTTTGCTGTTAAAAACAATGTCTACACTTTAGAAGTGTCGGCAAAAACACTAGCCGGCACTAAGTTGACTCCTAGTAAACTGACTGTGTTGCCGGGTAATGTTCAATGGATGAGGTTGCTGGATTCTGGAAAAGTGCTATGTGGTTATCCGAGTGGATTCGCGACTATGAATCTGAATGACAAAATGATGACACCAGAAAGTTAGTATATGCCCTGATTTTGGTCTGATTTTCAGATGCTTATAACGAAGCTACGATTAGTTTGGTCGCACGTTTAATTTTTGATTTTTTTAATGCGTTCGATGTCAGACTCTGAATCAGTTTGAGCCTGTGTGTTTAGTTCTCGTGAATCCTACAGATCGTAGTTTGGGCTTCCTGGTGAAGAGTCAACTGGATGCTCTGGCAGGACATGCAACCTCAGAAAACACATACTTCTTGTGCTTCTCAAGTATGTTTCTTGCTTTGTTTGTGTGAGATAGTGCAAGTTAGTGCTTTTGTTCAAACATGAAAATCAGTGAACAAGAGCATAAGGCAGGGATGATAATGTCGAATAAGAAGCCTAAAGCTCTGTAACTAATAATGGGTTTAGACCTAGCTTTCTCAATTCTACTTCAAAATTTGATGACCAAACTGCGCTGTGAAGATTACTTTGAAAATCTGGCTTATGGGATGACTTGGGATAATTTGAAAATGATTGCTCCAGGATCTGGACTTGTCGTGGACAACAGGGGCAACAGATGTTTTGCCGAGGACTTGCAATGGCCCATCCAGCCTTCTCACGTGGTTTTCTCTCCCCCTGATCATGTCATCAGCTTCAGTCCCCAGTCTGTCGATGTATTTGATGTGCACACCATGAACTGGTTGCAGACCATACCTCTCAAAAAGGTATCCCAGAGGTTTTTGTTGGACCATTGAAATTAAATTGGAACATTGTATTCGGGTTTTTTTAGTTTTTGTTCCGACCGTTGAAAATAGGGAGAAACTTTGAATTTGGGTAGGTTTTAGTTTTTTTCCACGCAAAATCAGGTACCACAAATTACCAACGGACTGGGAGCTCGTTATATGGAAATTTACTATTTTTCTAGACTTTTAGTCTAATCGATCGCGTTACTTGCTCGAAAATTCTTGAAGTTACTATAAAGAAAACTAGTTCCCCGTTGTTGATGTATTATTTAGCGCTTAATTGGCAAAAAAAGTTTTGAAAAACAATTTAAAATATTGTGTGCGAAACATAAGAAAAAAAATTGGAAATTAAATAAAATATATTTTTTTTTCCATTTTTTGGTTTGTAATTCAATTTTTGAATACAAGTATTGCCGATTATGACTAATTCACATATTTTATGTTCGATTGTATAGTTCTCAAAACACCCTACGCACTAAAAACGACCAATATTGAAGAAACGAAAGAAAAAAAAATATTATTATTTTTTTCAAATGAATATGGTTTGAACCAGGGTGACCACTTGGTCACTATTTTAGTGACCAACACTATTGGTCACTATTTTTTCAATGGTCACTAAAAGTCACTATTTACAACGGTTTTTGGTGACGGACCCTAAATTTTGTTTTATTTAGTCCTCCTTTGTTTTATTTTGAGATATCCATTTCCCATTTGTGGTTGCAGACCCTAAAAATTTTCTAAGTGTGCTTTTGGCGCCAATATATACTAATATTGAGGGGGAGGCGCGCGCCGAAAAAATGCAATTTTTTTCAAATTTTAAAAAGTGCCTAAAAACGACTTTTTCAGCCTGTTTATTCAAAATTATGCCTGCGGCGAAGAAATTTTGGCCAAAACGGACTTTTTAGTGCTTTGGCAGAGTTTGAAAATTTATTTTGGTCGACATTAAAAAAAGGTCGACGAAAAATTCGAAAATTGTCATAGTCACTATTTTTCTCTCATAAAAGTGGTCACCCTGGTTGGAACATTCTGTGCTGTTTGCACAAAAACGGGCTATCCTTGTTTTTCTTTCTTGTTTCCCAAGAAAAATCAGGTACCACAGTTATTGGATTGGTATAACATATTAAAGCCAGTGTCCCAAAGACAGTATTTTTTCCAGTGTCGAGAAAAATCGGTTGAAATTTTTAGATTTTGTCTTATTTCGAGCGAATAAAGATTTTTCCTCAAATTTGAAATGTGCTTATGGTTTTCGGCTATAAACTTAACTTGAAAAAATAAATATTACTCAGTATTACTCAAGTGAAGTTTGCAAATTCTTTCAGTGCCTTGGGAATATAATTTTAAGGACGAAAGAAAAATGTTCTAAGTGTTTTTGATTTTTTTTTTCATGTTTATTTGATGGAAAACTGATGTCAAGTGTACCTAAATTACTTTTAGTATCAAAATTCTAAGCTTTCAACTAGGTTCTCTCATCACACCAAAAAGAAAAAAAACACTCAATTTGAAAAAATCTTTGTTTGTAGTTTTTTAAAATATGGTCGGAACAATCTATGCTGCTTGCTAAACTACCTTTGTTCTCATATGGAAGTTTTTGCATCTAAAAAAGTGAAACTCATTACATTTAAATTACATTCAAATCTGGAGTAGCAGAATTTTGCCAGTTTTAGTTATTTATCGTGGTGTTATGGTGAATTTGGTTGAATTTGCTGTTGACGTTATTTTCTATGAAAATAATATTGACAATTTTTTCAGAGCACACCTTTGACAAGTGACGGGAAACTGGTTCTCTGTGGGGGAGATGTTCCCAAAATTGTGTATTTACACAACAAGTCTAAACATGGTAAGCATGCTATTGAAGGTCAATCAGCGACGTGAAAACAAGTTAATGTTTTTTCCGGAAAAATGTTTCAGGCCCAACACTGTTTCAGACCCAAATTTGATTATTTGCGGATTGCGTTTTGATTTCTTTATTATGCGCTCTCTAAATTCTTTTGCAAAATGGAAGGCTTGATATATAAATGACTTTTTCTTTCAAATGTGGATTTTAATTTTAGGTTTTCTTCACGGAATAAAGAAATTATCTATTGATCCAGTTTCCTTAAATTGCCTATCATAAAACATTCTGGAAATTCAAAGAGCTTTAAGTTGATACATAAATTTTTTTTCAGTCTTTTTTTGAATTAATTGACCTTTTTCCAACTGTCTTCTGGCTATGCTTATTTCTCTATACGTCATCTAATATCTATAATATTATCCTTTTATGAAAATGATTCTGAATGATTTTTTTCTAGGTGCTGAAGAAGTGTTCATAACATCTGCGGGTCTGGGAAAGTCTTTTACTTCGACTGGGTCCATCAACGGAGGGGGATCTAGTAGCGCGAAGAGCAGAAGAAGGTTTTCGTTCACCAAAACTAAAGACGATGAGAGAGAACAACTTGCCAGAGCGTGAGTTTTCTTTCGTGTGATAAAATAAATTATCTACAAAACTTATCAAATAAACGAAAAATGTAGTAGACAGTTTAAGTTACATCAGTCCTTTGACTATTTCAATGATGAGGGGAAAGAAATCACTCTGTGAAAACACTTTATTTAAATATCATGAAAATATTGAGTTTTCTGAGGATTAATATGCAAGGTTATGTGGCGGTTTGTATATTTACCTTAGTGATAAACCTTTTTCCGTATTTTTTTTTCAAACAATTCAACGGTTCATTTTATTAGCCTCTCAAGTTGCTGCTATTACCTTTAGTCACTTAGCGTAGAGACGCTTAGATGACAAAAAATTAGCCGACAAACTATAGCTTGACTATTGAAACTTGCGGACGACTTGAAAATTTTTAATTTCCTACAAGAAAGACTTCAGGCACACTGGAATCATAGCCCTTTTTCGTCCCAAACATGTGCATGAAATGTTTGGGACGAAAAAGGGCTATGATTCCAATAGGCCTGAAGTCTTTCTTTTTGGAAATTAGAAATTTTCTCAAGTCGTCCGCAAGTTTCAATAGTCAAGCTAAAGTTTGTCGGCTAATTTTTTGTCATCTAAGTTTTCACATGAACTGATTGAAACCATCTAGCTATAATTGAAATCATTTTGATTGTTTGCTCATATGGTGCGGGTAAATAATTTTCAAGAAGTTTTGTCCTACAGTTCTTGTGAATTAAAAAAAAATTCTTCGATATAAATACTTTTTATTTTACTTTTTTGTACTTATTTTATTATTTTTGCTTTTCATTTTCGATTTCATTTCACTTATCATTTTATAAATACATAAAATTTTTCTGAAATGATTCCATCAACTATATTTTGAGTTTGTCTAATGAGCTTTCATGATTTCAAAGTGCAATAGAGATTAGATTGATTGATGTTCGTCTAGAAAAAAATTGAAAATAGGAAATATATTGCGGTTTTTCAATTAGTGATTTTTTTCAAATGTAATTTCATATAGCATATGTTTTTTGTATCGCAAGTGAGCAATAGTTATGAGCTAATTCGATTTGTTTGGTTTAGCTTAAAGAATCTAGACGAGGACAAGAAGAGTAAACTGATCTCGGGGCCGACCAACTTCTCCCACGTGTCTCACATGGGACCCACTGCAGGACTACCCATCCTCAGGGACCTCGTGAGTCTATCATAATGTCTCTTTCATCATCTGTTGAAAATTGTTGCTCTAAAACTCCAACTCCAACTTGAGTTGATTGAGACTTGACCATAGTCAACTCATTTTAGACAGTTAAACAGTAAAAGGGACTACACCAACTTACCGAAAACTCTAGTTGTCAAAGTTCTAACTTGTTTGTTTAATTTGAGCGTTTTAAGATGCTTATTAGCGGAGAATTGTGTAATGAGAGGTTACGCTGCAGTTCATCGACAAAATTATTTTTCTTGTTGTAAAAGATATGATCGCTTAATCATTTCAGGTTTCACTCTGATATCGTTTTTTTTTTCAGAATGTAAACCCGCACCAAGTGACCGGATCCTCGGATATCATCAGGATGAACAGCATGATTCTCTCCACTCCAGCCAGAAACAAAATGATGGCCAATATGAATAGTACCAACTCTTCACAAACCGCAGGGCACAATCTAGTGTCGGTGTCTTCGTCTAATGCCGGCCATGCTCTTCCTGTGACGCAATCTTCTTCGACAGGAATTTCCAGGAATATCCTGCCTAATAGACCAAATGTGATGTCTGAAATCATTCAAAGTGAGTATACTATTGCAAGATTGGACGACTGAATAGAGAATCTTAAAGTTATCACATCATACTCAAAATGTCATGACCTTGAAATATGTTTGTATAGTGGACTAACACTTAAGAGCAGCTTTCTATATCCCGAAGAAAACCGATTTTTGTTTAATTTTTACCTGCTTCTGAAGTACTAATATTTTTATAGGTCGAAAATGAGAGGTGAGAATTTCATGATTTTTCCATGATATATCTGTCGCAGCTACCTTTTCCTATCTTTGTGTCGTGAAACAGATCTCATTCAGAGACCAGTATCAACGGAACACGTGTATTGTCGGCTCTACTTTGAAATCGGGATTATACGTATTTTTTTTGTGAACAGCAATCGTAATTTGTTTCAGATCCAGTCCCTTTTATGGACAATGACGAGGAGAAGCCGAGAATAGGTAAAGAGAAAATTAACTGTCTTGATTCGATCCGAAGTTTGAAATTGTCGGTAAAGTTCACGCGCATGTGGCATGCATCTTTTTGAACGTTTTTGTAAACACTTTGCTGACATTTGCTGAGCGTTGATCACCATTGTGACTAGAAAAAGCGTTTTAACCGAGAACTTGACTATGCTCCCGTGAACAATTTTGCTTACAGAATTCACTCGTGAAATGTTTTGAGATTCATATCTTATATATTAAATGAATGACACGTTTTCAGCATAAGGCTATCGTTTAAGGGGCTATCGAGCGCAACATTTAAAAAGGCTTAGATCAGTACTTTTAGAATCACTCAGAGCGAGATGAACACGATTCAACTTAAGGCTTAGACAGTACCTGCCCACTTTTTTTTCCAAAATTTTGCGTTTACAGATTCATTTCAGTCTGGAACGAATCCTTTAAAAACAGCAACCTCTATGCTAAGAAAAAAACTTCTTGCAAACCCGTTCGGTCCATGAAATAAATGGAAATGTTTCAACGTTTCACAGCTTCAAAAGCTTGCTTAGAAAAACTGAAATTTTTCGCGAACCGAGTCAGTCTATGAATTAACCTAAAATAATTCAACGTTTAATAGCTTTTACAGCTTGCTCACAAAAACTGAAAATTTTCGCGAACCAATTCAGTCTATGAAATAACTTGAAATTAATTAAAGTTTCATAGCTTGATGAAAAGCTAATTTAGAAAAACATAACCTCTTCCCGAACGATTCAGTCTATGAAATAACATGAAATAGTTCAAAGTATCATAGCTTTAAAAGCTTGCTTAGAAAAACTTCAACTTTTTGCGAACCGATTTGGTCTACGAAATAACTTGAATGATTTCAAAATTTCTAATTTCTAGCCTAAAAAGCTTGCTTAGAAAAACTTAAACTATTTTTGCTCACGTTTAGACTAGAGGTGACGACTATGTATGAGACGACGAAGGTTGTGGGGTCGGTTCCTGTCGGGAGCTCAATTTTTTAAATTGAAGTTTTTTTGAAAAATTTATTTGTCTTACTCATTGGTCTGCTTATTTTCATCAGCCGATTTCAGCAGTTCTTAGTCTTATTGAAAATCATTTTGTCTATTTTACTGTTTTTTTCCCGCAAATTTAGAGTTTTGTCTTTCATTTTTTTCGTCATTCAAGCGTCAATGAACGCAGTGAAGACATTTAAACGGGTTTTTATGATTTGTTTGTTTATTTTTCAGGAAAAAATTTTAAAATTTGATCACGGCAAAAATGATCTTTTGCAGTTTGATTTCGTTTTATTTTCAAGTTCAGTTCAAACTTAAATGCTAAAAGGAAGGGAATTACACTGGCGCGAGAAATTGTAAACGACTTAAGGATTCAAAGTGGATTTATTTTATTAGCTTTGTCAGCGGAATAAAAATTTATCTATGTAGTTTTCTGTAAGTGGGTTTTTTTTCATGAAGAAAGTGTGATCTTATACTTTTTCAAATGTAAAGCTTTAGTTTGATATTTTTTCAAAATTCAAAAGTTTTAAAAAAAGTCAAATAATTTTTTTCTGCTTTATTTGCGAGCATTGACTTTTTCCAACTGTTTATTGGCTATCTATTGCTTTGACGGTTTCTTCAGCCTAAATGATTTTGGTTTATGTGATATCGGTTAAGTTGCCTCATTATCCTTTTTTTGAGGGACGAAAATTTGGTTTTATGCGTATGTGCTTCGGGGATGAGTTTCAAGTTTTATGACAGTCTTTTTTGGCTCAGTGGTCATCTACACAAGTATGGTTTGCTTAGTTAGCACTTAATAGGTGAAGTTTTGTTTGAGTAGTATTTTAACACAGGTAATTGTGCCTGTCGACATGTTCTCAAGTTCAACTTCACGCGATGCAAACCTTTAAAAATTTATGTTTGATGTTTTTGAGAGTCAGGGCATAGTGAATACTCTTATATAGGTCTTGGTGATTTAAATTGAAGGCAGAATTTAATTTACAAATTTCCCAGCGGAATAAAGTTGTACTTATTGATCCAATTTTCTTAAATTGGGTTAATTTTATCAAAAAAAGTGTCGATCATTAGTTATTCTTGAAGTTCCAAGGGCTTTAATTCCATATATTTTTTCTTTGAAAATTGATCTTTTTTTGTCGCAAAATAAGTCAGTTTTTTCTATTTCCTTATGTCTTTTCCAACTGTCTGTTGGCTATGTTTTTCTTCCGTGCTATTTTTCTGATGAAACCCTATTTGCACGAAGCTCGGCTTCGCCTCAGCGTTAATGTTTGTTGTAAATTTAATTGTTTTGCCCAGCATACATTGACTGTGTTTTCAACAGCTCACGAAATGTGGTAAACTGACCTTCAATCACAAACTGAATTGAATGCAGGTAGGGACAATCAGACTCTTGAAGGCGGAAGTAAAATGAGTGAGCCCTCCTGTTCTCCTGCCTATTTTGATTGGTTTTATCTTTAATTGAAAGGCTTCATTGTCAGTGTACTGCAATAGGATTATTCTCGTGCCTGAAAGCCGAAAGCACAACTTTTCAACTAATTGACAAGCTTAAAACGGTCATAACTTGTATACGACATACGCCTAGTATACTGAATTCTGACAGGCTTACTTAATTTTCGGGCATTCGGTCCTTCTGTTGTTCCCGTCCTGTAATTTTTCAGGCTTTCCTTTCACTTACTTCTTTTAATGACTGAATTTGACTGATTTCACTTAATCGATTGCTAATGCTTCGCAATTGTATCCGCGCAATGGCGTTTACTGGAATGCAGAAGTCGAAAAAAAATCGGTTTTTATATCAATGATGAATATTATTTTTCTCTTGTTCTAGAGTACGGCATTTTGTTTTTCTTTTCAGGTGATAACAAGGCTTAAAGTAATGCGTAATGCTTCAAGTTCCGCCAAGCGACAATATTCAGATTCCAAAATTCGAAAACTCGGATTTACAACGGATTCAATTTATATCCAGCGATCTGGTCCAGTTCTCGTGACTTGGGTATTCCAAATTCTGAAGGTCTGGTTTATGCGCTGAATTGACAATGTTGCTATTTATTGTAATGTAAATACATAAATTTTAGCTTAAATTCCAATTCTGTTGTTCGAAACTTTCCAATAACGTTTTAATATTGCGTTTTTGGTGCTGGGGAGATAGATGCTATATGCACAAACTAAACTAATATTTTTGTGAAGAATGTTGTCTTTAGTTTTCTGATTATCACTTTTGTATTATCACTTTTGTATTATCACTTTTGTATAATCACTTTTGCTAGATTACAGTAGATTATAGATTGAAATATTGTCATTTTGTATTAATGTGGTCTTGATTTCCAGAGCGAGTGCGGAAGACATTTCTTTTTCATACAATCAAACTTTTTTTTTGATCGCAAAGGGTTTGCTTTCTTTGATCATTGGTGCAATAATTATTTCCTGCGCAAAATTGTGTGTTAAACTAGATTTATTTGGACGAAAAATAAATTTTGTGTTTTCTCTGCCTAATTCGAAAGTTATCTGCTGCTTTTCAACTTGTTACCCTTGGTCTTCTTTCGTAAAAAAAAAATAGTTATGAACAATTTATTATTTGGTAGCTAAATCGTTTCTTTTTTGTTCAAACGCGAGCATTCAGGCGCTGCTGTTGCTACTTTGTTGCCTTTTTATCCTATCCCAATATAAGTTTCATATTGATTATTGAAGAGAATTTAATTATTATTTTCACCACTGTTTTTCTATTGAGACTAATTCGGAGAATTTTTCAAGTAGAGCTTAGCTGTGAAATTGGCGCGAATTTATTTGTTGCCTGGACTATCTCTGTTTGTTGTCAGCTCAAGGGAGGTGACGGGCGGGTTTGATACGAATTTTTTTACCAGGTGATTAGCAATTCTATTTGAAGAGAAAAGATTAAAATAAACGTTTGAGATTATTAATTGGCAAGCAACAAAAGGAACCCTTTTATTTGTTTCATGTGATGTTTTTGTTCGGTTTTTTTCAAGAGTCGATGATTGTATTTCAGACTCTTATGTGTCGCGATGATTTTTTTCTTTTTTTTTCAAGTAAAAGTCTTAAACTTTGTTCAGGCTCAAATTTACTGTTTCGCAGATTGATTTTTGATTTCTTTTTGAGTTCAGGTCATTTCCTTAAGTGTAAAGGTCACAAAAACGTGATCGACTTCTAGTTTCGCAAATGGGAATTTGTTTATCGAATTTCTCAGCGAAAAAAAAGAATTACTTATTGATCTATTTTTATCAAATTGGGTTAATTTTATCAAAAAAGTGTCAATCTTAAATTGTTCCAGAAATTCAAAAAGCCCTAAGGCCATCTTTTTTTGATATTCGAAGTTGAGATTTGTTTGAAAAACAGATCATGTTAAATTGATATCATTTTATTAATGAACGAAAACCTTGATCTGTCTGATTTGAACATTTCAAAAAGAATCCAACAAACTCAATATATTTTACCCAAGTCGCTTTTAAATATTTTTTGAAAATGAGGCTAGTCTTTTGAAATTTGACGTATACTTTTGCATCGCATGTGATGAATATTTGCTTTCTCCAAGGTCGAAATTTTTTCCTTTGACCGGAAATAATATAAGAATGGTTATTTTCAGCATAAAACTCTCATTTCTTTGTGTACGAAGCGGATGCAGTGGCTTATGGTGGAAGACTTTATATTAATGTGCCTCTAAGTGAAAATTTATTTACCTCTAACTAATTTATTATTTTAATTTGCATCTAACTAATTTGTTTAGTAATTTGCCTCTGAGTGCCTCTGTCGGTTGGCTATTTTTTACAGCACGCTCAATGTTGCTCGTTTTTGCAGTTCGATTTTGAGGTTTTTTCAAGATCAATTCACGTTAATATTCCCAATAGAAGACAGTTTTCGATAACAAAGAAGGAAAGCGCTGAAGGCGCAAAAATGTCAATAGCTGATAGTAGAATGCGATTGGAAGACAAAGAGAAAAACAAAGGTCTTGTATTAAGCCTCAATGAATAAATTGAATACATAAAAAGGTGTGATGTCTTTTTTCAAATTCTTTAAAAGTTTTCATAATCTTTTTTTAGTTGACTTTAGAATCCTGTTTTAGATCAATTCAAGCTCATTTGCCCATTGGAAGACAATTTTCGATCTCGGATAAGGAAAGCGCAAATGGTACGAATATTGTGATTTTTTTGCCAAAGTTTTAGTAGAGGTTATGGCTAGGTGAGATACATAAGAAAATTAGAGAACGTAGGTTATCAAATGTAAATGAACGAGATGATTACATAAAGCTTGTGTGATGTTTTGTTTTAAGTTTTTTTAGTAAGAACTTAATGGTTGTTCACGCTCAAATATATATTTTTTTATCATTGACTCTGGATCCTTTTTAAGTTCAATTAAAGTTCATTTTCCCAAAGGAAGACAATTACGATATCGAACACGAAACAGGCAAATGGCGCAAAAAATGCATTTGACTTGTTTTCAAAAGTAAAAATATGTTTTTGTGTTTCCTCTGGGAAACACAAATTCTAGAAAAAAATAAACGTATCTCCAGCTGTAGATGAGCTCCTAATACTGAAGTTTGTAAATTTATCGAATCTGATCTTGAATTATTTTATTTATTTTTTCGATTAAACGGGTTTGGCTGATGTTATATCGGCTTTGTCATTTATGTTGTGCATTTTGCGGGCAAACTTATTTTAAAATTTTTGTTTGTTTCAGGAGGGATGGGTCGTAAAATTTTGATTTAAAAAGTTTTAAATATTGAAGTTTTATATGACTACAGTTTTGTTTTCGGCTTAACGAGGGAAATCTCTCGTTAACCTTTTCGCCTTACTTGGCACTCGGTTATTGATTCTCAATGCTTGCTGAGACTTTTCATGAGCCTCATCCGATTCAAATGTATTAAAGATTTGTAGATATTGTTTTTTTGACTTGATCTAATTTTTTTCAGCTCATTTAAAAAAAAATGACTTCTTCTAATGCAATTTTTAAATAAATTTAACTGATAGGGTTACTGTTATCTCAAAATATCAAGCATGAAAGATTCGCCATAAAAGATTTCACAGAGTTTTTTCGATTGATCCAGTTTTCTCTAAATGCGTTTATTTTATGTTACAGTTCCAATCATGCTAGGGTTCTCAAAATTTGAAAAACCTTTGGGCCATATGTTTTTTAAATCCTTCCACGATCAATCAATTTTTCACGGTTTTAATTAATTCATCGAAATATTTACTACTATCTGTTGGCATTAACTGCATAATTCATTCAAAATGAGTCAGTTCGTCTTAATTGTTTGCTTAATTGATACAAATGTGCTAGTTTCAATGCTTCTCAGATTTTTTTTGTTGATCATTATTCTTCTTCAGCTAACAATTTTTATGATTTCGAAATATTATTCAATTTAATTTAATTGTGCGTTTGTTCTTCTGGCGTGCCAAAGTTGAAGCTCAGGTTTGCCTCTGCATTTGAACTGCCTTTCAAAACCGCAGAATAGACTAGAAAACGCTTTTGAGTAGAAAAGGCAGATAAAACATTCGTAGCTGCCCTGTGATATGTCCAGCTGTGTGAGTATTTTAGCAATTGTTACTGATTTACGCACTTTTATTTCATTTTAGGCGAGTTTTTTTTTTCTATGTTTTTTCAGATGGTTTTCAATATTTTATCTCTATGGTTTTCTATGGCACCTATTGATATCTATGATTTTTTTACTGATCAAATTGAAGCCGATGTAGCGGTTTCATTTTTATTTGGAGCCCACCAAAAATGGACGGAAAATTTTTTTAAGAAAAAGAGAATTAATGCGAAGATTTTACAGGACTTTCATTTCAATTCAAAAAATGCGATTAAATTTCAAATCCCCAGCTTATCAAAAATTCACTTTTTCCAATGGTTTTTACAAACTGTTTTTCAGAGATTTAAGCCAACATTACGAGGCCAAACTGTGCACTGGATAGGCGCACATTTTTGTGTCTGTATGTTCCTAGATTCCATAGACAAAGCTTTAAACATGTTCCAAAATGTAAGCGGATTCCACTTACAAAACTTCCATGGATTCCGCGTACAAATACCTGTAACGTTAACTTTGTCGGCTCATTTGTTGCGCCGCGGATTCCGCAACAAGCGAATTTAGCTAGTTATTTTGGATTCCGCAACTAAGTGGATTCCACAAAATGTAAGTGGAATCCACAAATGTAAGTGGAGTCCGCCAAATTTAAAAACGGAAACTGCAAATGTAAGCGGAATTCGCAAATGTAAGCGGATTCCGCAAACTGTAAGTGGAATCAGAATTTTGTTTATAACTGAACTTGCATATGAACAATTAAAAGCTAGAGCAATTCTTATCTCATTTAATTCTTAGCAATGCGGAATTTAATTGCAAGGACTGAACCATTGTCAGCGGAATCCACGAACAAATCTCAAAACGTTTGTTAACTAAATCGGTGGATGTCACTTTTTTGTATTTTGGAAACGCAAAACCGAATAAGTTCAATATTTGGAGTCATTGGGTTGAGAGTGTATGGAAATACAACACTCAGCATACAGCATATTGCCAATTTAGGTCAGTATTTGGGATTGTGTCAATACCAAATACTGGTTTTGGAAGCATAACGCCGAATAAATTCAATATTTGTAGCCTTTGGGTTGAGAGTTCATTGCAAGAAAACACACAGCATACAGCATATTGCCAATTTAGGTCAGTACTTGGGATTGCGTCAATCCCAAATACTGATTTTGAATGCTTGCGTCGAATAAATTCAATATTTGTAGTCATTGGCTTGAGAGTGTTTGGAAACACAACAGACAGCATTATCGCCGAATTAGGTCAGTATCTGGGATTGCATAAGTCCCAAAAACTGGCCAGTATTTGGGATTCCATCAATCCCAAATGCTGATGATCTAGTAGATTCCGATTCTAGTGAATTGATATCGAAGATGAGATCGAAGTTGACAGGATTTGAGATCGAACTTGGGTTGACAGGAATTGAGACCAAATGTTTGGTGTTTCAACTGGTAGTTGATCAATATAGTAATTGAGAATGATTTTTCTGGTAACCAGGATTTAAAATATATAATTTTAAACGCTATGCTACACAAATACATATATGTAAACGGAATCCGCAAATAAAATGCGGATTTTACTTACAATTTGCGGATTCCACATACAGTTGCGAAATCCGCAACAGCTCAATTTGACTAAACAAATTACTTATTATTTGTTTGTGGATTCCACAAACTGTTCTGGATTCCGCAAATACGGTTGCAGCTTCCGCAAAATCCCCTATTTTTGGAGCGATTTTGAGCGGTTCAGTCTTTTAGGTATTTGTTTGTGGAATCCAAAACAGCGAAAAAGATCAAAGAAAAGTAGCAATAATGCGGATTCCGCGACAAATATGATTTTGGCTTGTTGCGGAATCCGCTTGAAATGAACAGAATGCACAGTTTGGCCACGTAATGAAATTTGTGAAATATATTCCAAGAGGTGACTTTTTCACTCCGCTGTCAATCATAAAGTTCAATGCTCTATGAAGTTTGGAAGTTGAGAAAAGTCTTACAATTCTTTGCCCTTTTTTTGGTTTAGAGTCGTTTTTAAAATGGAAGATCGGACTACGTTGATGAGAAAAATCTAAAAACAATTTTGAAACTTGCGTCGTTTTTTAAGAGTGATAGTATGAGAGGAAAACAACTAAACTACTGCTACTACTCTTACTAATGCGTTTATTGTTCGTTTTCCCCCTGTGGCGGGGTTGGACATCGGAATGGTATACCTGGATAGCTTAGTAAATTCCGGCATTCAAATGAGGGCATTTCGAATAGCATTCAAGCTGTTTAGTTAATGAGATTACGTTGTTGCATGACATTCGATCAAGGCAGTCTGTGGCTTTGAGGCTTAAAGTATTAAGGTTCCACTAAACAAAATCGGTCCAGCGTTTTCTAGGCTTTCCTGCTAGTCGTTCCCCTGGGGTTGAAACAACAACTAAATTTTTTGCGAATGGTCATTTTGTCTTCACTGAACATGGCCAAAGTTCTCCGGATTAACAAGACCTGTCATTTTAATTACTGCTTCGTTGGTAACTACTTTTTCATAATTGAATCCTGTAATTCTACGCAGAGCTTTCATATCAGCACTCTTAAGATAGCCGGTTGTCACTTTGGTCTGCGCCCAGTTTTCAGAGCAGTACATCAGAACTGTCCGGAGACAAGCCTCGTAGATATGATACCTTTTAATCCAGTCAATACCGTTATTCAGCAGTAGATGCGCGATTTGCTTCCATTTTGTTCAGTAGGCTAGTTTTCTGACTAATGATGCACGTTTTGCGTTATTTTACCGGAAATCATGTGCAGGTAACAGAATTCTTCGACAGTATTAAAAGTTTCAGACGGATTGATCCGTAGAGTAGCATTCTGATTTGAACGATACTTGGAAGGATGAGTATTATAAGTTATTTTCCTGACCACTGCGTTTTTGATGCACTCTTTGAACAACAACGCCTTTCAACAACAAGTGCATGGATATTTTTGGTTTTTGAGGAATGAACTTTTTGTAAAGCCTTTTTTCGAAGTATTAAACTTCTCATTAGTCAGGATCATCTGCATATAGCATAATCCACGTTGTCGCGGAACCCGTTTCTTGTAGCCTCTTCCATTACTATTATGCAGGTTCCAGTAATAGGATGTCTCAGTAGTATCCACCTTTTAACAGGGTGCTTTTTCCTTTGTAAATTGTAACCGTCTCCTTTTCGATTCAATCAGAGGGGACTGGACCAGAATTCCAGACTTCCTTCAAGACTGAAAAAGTCTAGCAAGTCCACATTCCCCAAGAAAATTTGATATCCGAAATTAGCTCTTTTGGTCTTAGTTTTTCTTGTTTTTCTTTTTTCTCATTGTCAGTGCCACCTGGATAGTAAATTCCCCCAATAGGCCAGCCACGGGGTATCTTCCGTTTCAAACGGACTTGATTCATTTGAAAGATATGTTAAGTTATTTCGCAACTGCGAGAGAACATCATGGTCACAAATCAGGAGCTTTCCTTCGTAATTAATGAGTTTTGCTCATGCGACATTCTTATGATCTTTTTATTTGCTTGGCAAGGCGTGTCTCCGTTCTTAAGGGATCTTGTCACCATTTCTGGATTGATTCTTTTTAGCTTCAGCAACTAGGTGTTAGACGACTGTTCAGTCTCCAATATATCACCCGGTCTTCTTCATTTTCAGACCGCTGTCACTTATTGAACAAAAAAAGCGTTTGAAATTCTTTTGGCTATTTATTCGTTCCAGCACCATGTTTTTCTTTCTCAATGGTTTTCCCGTTTTTTCGCTACATACGCCTATTTTCGAAGGATTGATTTGAAAGTTTCCCATTTCGCCTGTATTTGATTTTTTTCTTATTTTCTCATTGCTTCTTTGTAATTAATTTGGTTTTCCCATTCATTTTATTTCCACAATTTTATTCTTCGAGCTAATTTTCACTCATGCTGGTAAATGGGTATCACACAAGCCAGATGTAAATCACACAAGTCTGTGTTTAGCTCCATCTTCGCCCTTAATAAACCCCTTCATAAACTCCCTTAATATTTTTTTAAATAAGTTTTTGGCACAGCCTCTCTGCGAAAATCGTGTTAGAATGAAATAGATGGGAACTAAACGAAAGTTTGAAACATTTGTAAATTAGCTTTAAAATATCGGCTTTTTGGTTGTCTGCTTTTGTTTTGTAGGCTTGGATACCAGTTTTCTATGAATGACTATTTTATGCATGTGGTTGTTTTGCTGGACGTGCTCTTCTCAAATTGAAAATCATTCGAGACAAATTTTTTTGTAGATGTGATTCTTTTGGTTTAACAAAATTATTCTCGATTTAATTGCATTTATTTCATTTTCTGTTGGATAGCTTGCTCCGCTTCGCCTCTGTGTTTACATTTTGATTGGTTCAGGGCTGAAAGGTTGTTACGTGATAACTTATTCGACCCATCCTGATAACTATTTCTGTTAAAATACAAAACACCTTTCTTTTAGTTTCCTTCATTGTCTTTTTACACAGTCGCAGCTGGTGTCATTACGAAATCGCTTGTTTGTTACAAATCTGCACTTTTCTAGGGAACGCTGAGATATTTAGATAAGAGAATCTCTGTTGAAATAAAGAGCATATGTTTTTGCTTGGTATTTATCAGTCAAGCATATGCATCTCAGCAAAATCAGTGACAAAAGCTGCAGGCTGGGGTTTGAATGCGGTAGCTTCGACAGTTTTTGCAAGGCTTGTTTTTGATTTTTCTAAATTTTGAGAGCGCTTTTTAAATTGGTTGGACGAATTGCAGTTCTTCGGTCTACAACTTGCAATTCGTTGTTTCAAATTTAGTTTCTTTCGCTGAAAACAATAAAACAGTGCGGTCAATGAGGGAAATAAATTGTTAGATCGATACTGCTTAAGACAACAGATTCATTTTCTTAACAAAATTCGTAATGTGAGGAAATAATCCTCTGTTAAGCAGATGTAGTATTCTGGTTTATTGATTGCAAGGAAACTTAATTTTCTGCTGCAGGCTTAACGGACAATTGAAACCTCGTAGACAGCAGAAACCGCAGACATATTTTTCAGATTCAATTGCATCTTGCATGTACAATTTGTAATTTAATTTAGGCATTTAACGAGTGCCTAATTTGCAAATGTACAGCAACAGAGTTTGTCACAACGGTTAACTTATTGACTACTTTTCTGCGTGATATTTGTGAACGTGAGTGCATTTCAATGTCGTTGTGAGATGTTGTTCCTGCTGTCAATATTGTTTTGGTTCCTACTCTACAAGCTACTAAACAGTGTCTCTTTCTGTGGCAAGGATTCTCCAGAATGGAATTGCAGACTGGTGACTTTGCTACATGGGGTATTTTGTCTCTTCTCAACTGCAATGTCGACGTTGGTGTTCGGACCTTGGCCGTTTACTGATCAGGGTAAGAAAGATGACGTTTGATTTATTTTTCAAGTACAACTTAAGTAGGGACTTGAAGAATGAACTACGATTTGAAAAATATCGGCTACGATTTAGTTTTAGACAGAGCTCAAGGGCCATCAAAGTCAAACTCGAGTAAATGTTTGTCATCTCCAGTCTTATTATCAGCCACAGTTGTTCGTAAACTAAATCACTGGTCGTCATCTTATCTTATCTTATACAATAAATGAAAGTCGGAATGCGCTATGGACGCAATGTTTAACTATACGCACTGTTTTAGCTTTGTCGAATGCAACGTATAAAAAACTCTTCAGGCTTAACGTTTAAGAGGAGGTCAAGAATATTCTAGAACTTTCAAACTTCCTAAGTCTGGAATATTCAAGAATTATTTTTGACAAATTCAATTCTTCAGACAAGATGAAATCATTGATTTTCAAGGCTAAACAGTATTTGTCCATTTTTTTCCAAAATTTTGCTTTTTCAGATCGGTTTCTTTCTGAAACGAACCAACTACAAACAGCAACCTCCTTGCTAGAAAAACTAGCTTTTTGCAAACCGGTTTGCGCTATGGAATATGTTGAAATTTTTCAATGTTTCATTACTTGCAGAGAAAAACATACACTTTTCACCAAACGGTTTGCTCTGTGAAAACTTGAAATAATTCAAATTTTCTACGCCTCAATAGCTTGCTTAGAACGACTGAAACTTCTCGCCGGTCGAATTGCTCTACGAAACAATTTGACATATTTCAAAGTTTTGTCGCATGAATAGTGGTGTGCTCAGGAAAACTATGAAATAATTTAAACTAAAATTTTTGTTTTTTAGTAATATCTTCGCCAAAGCATACAAAAACCTTCGCCAACTTTTTGTAATCAAGCTTTCGCAAACCGAATTGACTTTTGATATAACTTAAAATATTTCAAAATTTCAAAGCTTTAATAGCTTGCTTAGTAAAGTTTAAGATTTAGTCTTAAACGTTCAACTCGATTTGATCTACGAATCAGTTTGAAAACATTCTTGAAAAAATGTGAACATCTAAAAAATTATGAATTGTCAAAACTTCAAATAATTGAAAGTTTCATCGCCTCAATAGCTTGCTTAGAAAAACTGACCAGCTTGCTTCTCAGGAGTTGAATTGCTGTGTGAAATAATTATACATGTTTCATAGACTACTTGACAGTCTATGAAGTTTTGTTGCTTGAATAGCTTGCTTACAAAAACTTCAACTTATCGCAAACCGATCCGGTCTATGAAATATTTTGAAATATTTCAAAGTTTCATAGCTTGGATAGCTGCGTAGAAAAACTTTGAATTTTCGCTAACTGATTCGGTCTATCGATCTATGAAGTAACTACAAATAGTTCCTTAATTCAGAGCTGGAATAGTTTGCTTAGGAAAACTTGCGAGCCGATTCGGTCTTTTTGAAGAATTATTCGAAGTTTCATAACTTGAAGAACTTGCTTCGAAGCTTTTAAACTGTAGCGAATTGTATTGGTCTACAAAACAACTTTAGTATGTCCAACTTTTCTAGAATGAATAATTTTCTTGGGAAATTTAATTTTTTTGCAAACTGATTCAGTTTATGAAATAACTTGAAAGTTTTCATATGTTGAATAGCTTAAGAAGAACTAAGTTTTTTGCGAACCGATTAGCTTCATTAAATAATTTGGAATACTTCTTAGCTGTAAAAGCTTGCTAAGAAAATATTAAATTTTTCGTGAACCGATTTGCTCTACCGATTTAAGTTGAAATATTTCAACGTTTCATAGCTTAAAAACTTGAAGCTTTTCGCAAACTGATTCAGTTTAAGAAATAACTTGAAGTTTTTCAAGTTTGCTTTGCTCTAATATTTTGCTTAGAAAAAATTAAATTTACGCTAACCGATTCGGTCTACGAAATAACATAATAAATTCAAAGATTCATTTCTTGAATCGCTTCCTGAGAAAACTTCAAGATTTTTGCTAACTGATTCGGTTTATGAAATAACTTGAAATATTTCACTGTTGCATAGCTCTAATATCCTGCTTAGAAAAACCTAAATTTCCGCTAACCGATTCGGTACACGAAATAACATGAAAAGATCAAATTTTCATAGCTTGAATAGCTTGCTTAGAAAATTTTAAGCTTTTCGCAAACTGATTCGGTTTATGAAATATCTTAATTCAATTTTTCTAGCTCAAAAAGCTTGCTCATAATTTTTTTCGCAAATTGATGTAATCTATGAAATAACTTGAAATTTTTTGAAAGTTTGATAGCTTTAAAAGCTTGCTTATAACAACTTAAACTTTTCGAGAACCGATTCGGTCTACGAAATATTTTGGAAAAAATCAAAGTTTCTCAGCTTGAATAGCTTACTTAGGAAACTTGAAGCCTTTCGCGAATTGATTCAGTTGATGAAGTAACTTGAAAGTTTTCATATGTTGAATAGCTTAAGAAGAACTAAGTTTTTGCGAACCGATTAGCTTCATTAAATAATTTGGAATACTCCTTAGCTGTAAAAGCTTGCTAAGAAAATATTAAATTTTTCGTGAACCGATTTGCTCTACCGAATTAGTTGAAATATTTCAACGTTTCATAGCTTAAAAACTTGAAGCTTTTCGCAAACTGATGCAGTTTAAGAAATAACTTGAAGTTTTTCAAGTTTGCTTTGCTCTAGTATTTTGCTTAGAAAAACTTAAATTTATGCTAACCGATTCGGTCTACGAAATAACATAAAAAATTCAAATTTTCATAGCTTGAATAGCTTGCTTAGAAAATTTTAAGCTTTTCGCAAACTGATTCGGTTTATGAAATATCTTAATTCAATTTTTCTAGCTCAAAAAGATTGCTCATAAATTTTTTCGCAAATTGATGTAATCTATGAAATAACTTGAAATTTTTTGAAAGTTTGATAGCTTTAAAAGCTTGCTTATAACAACTAAACTTTTCGAGAACCGATTCGGTCTACGAAATATTTTGAAAAAAAATCAAAGTTTCTCAGCTTGAATAGCTTACTTATGAAACTTTAAGCTTTTCGCGAATTGATTCAGTTTATGAAGTAACTTGAAAGTTTTCAAATGTTGAATAGCTTAAGAAGAACTAAGTTTTTGCGAACCGATTAGCTTCATTAAATAATTTGGAATACTCCTTAGCTGTAAAAGCTTGCTAAGAAAATAATAAATTTTTTCGTGAACCGATTTGCTCTACGGAATAAGTTGAAATATTTCAACGTTTCATAGCTTAAAAACTTGAAGCTTTTCGAAAATTGATTCAGTTTAAGAAACAACTTGAAGTTTTTCAAATTTGCTTTGCTCTAATATTTTGCTTAGAAAAACTTAAATTTTTGCTAACCGCTTCGGTCTACGAAATAACATAATAAATTCAAAGATTAATTTCTTGGATGGCTTGATGAGAAAACTTCAAGATTTTTGCTTACTGATTCGGTTTATGAAATAACTTGAAATATTTCACTGTTGCATAGCTCTAATATCTTGCTTACAAAAACCTAAATTTCCGCTAACCGATTCGGTATACGAAATAACATGAAAAGATCAAATTTTCATATCTTGAATAGCTTGCTTAGAAAATTTTAAGCTTTTCGCAAGCTGATTCGGTTTATGAATAACTTAATTCATTTTTTCTAGCTCAAAAAGCTTGCTCATAATTTTGTTCGCAAATTGTGTTATTCTATGAAATAACTTGAAATTTTTTGAAAGTTTGATAGCTTTAAAAGCTTGCTTATAACAACTTTAAATTGTCGAGAACAGATTCGGTCTACGAAATATTTTGAAAAAAATCGAAGTTTCTCAGCTTGAATAGCTTACTTAGGAAACTTTAAGCCTTTCGCGAACTGATTCGGTTCATGAAATAACTTGAATAATTCAAATTTGTATAGCTCCATTAGCTTACGTAGAAAAACTTAAACCTTTCGGAAATCGAATCAGTCTATGAATTAACTTCGTAGTTTGAATATCTTGCTTAAAATTTTTTTTCGTAAACCCATTCGTTTCATTAAATATCTTGAAGTATGTCAAAGTTTCATAGCTTAAATAGCTTGATTAGAAAAACTTCAATTTTGTGAGCCGATTCGTTTAAGAAAATTAAAGTTTATCAAACGGATTTATGATAAAGCTTGCCTTGAAATTGTTCGAAGTTTCACTGCCTGGATAGCTTGATCCGAACAACAAATAATTTTTTGTGCGCTGATTTACTTTTGGAGGCAGGCTTGCTAGTTTCCCTTAAACAACGAAGTATATCAAGTTTTCAGGTGGGTTGAATACGCCCCTGGAGAACTTCATAGTCATAGTGTGTCTGGGCTACTTCCTGTTTGATTTCGCCTGGTGTCTCATCCAGCCCAGCAAGGAATCCAGGGTCATGTTCATTCATCACCTCATCAGCATAGCCTCTCTGGCCTATGTGTTATACACTGAGCACAGTGGGACCGAATTGATGGGAACTATATTTGGAGCGGAAGCTAGCAACCCCTTTCTACAGATTCGGTAGGGATCAAAGCTGTTCTACAAAACATGTCATTTAACTATTATGATGGTCGAAATATATCAACGGACGCTTTCAAATGAAAGTAACTTCGTAATATTTTGTTTGAATCTGATTAATAATTATAGAAATCTGTGATTTTTCAGGAAACAATTTTTGTTGTGGTTGAAAAAACTGTTTTCCAGGTAGAACAAATTTTTCGACGGTTCTGACCAGACTATTTTCATCGCTTTTTGAAGCCTTTTTTGCTGTTTCGATTATCTAAGTGAACCGCTTGATCGCTTAGCAATTTTCGCTTAATTTCTTTATGGAAAGTTTCTTCGCAATGAAGAAAAGCTAACAAGAAACATTTTCAAGATTTACAAACAACACAGCGCTACTTATATGCTTGGGTTTTTTTACTCAGACCAATCAAAATAGATTTTTTGCAAAAAAATATGGTCAAATGAGTTTAAGTCTTAAAAATTTGCCTGCGATCATTTTCGGTAAACTTCTGGGGATTTGAAAATTCAATCCGCCTTTCCGCTTTTTGTTATTGCTTTAACGTAATGTGCGATCGCTTTTGCTCTAAGTGAAACAAAAATCTGGTTTTGACTACAATTTTGATATGATGGTTCTTAAACTGTGGCCGTGTTATTTTTCAGATGGTTTCTAAAAGAGCTCGGCTTGAAGGAAACGAAACTGTACGAAGTGAACAACATAGTGTTCGTGTTAGTCTTCTTCATCTTCCGAATCATTCTTGGCTCACACCTTCTTATCACCACCCTCCTCCACCCCAAACCCACCCTCATCATCAAAGTGGGGGGCATAGGACTTTATTTAGTGGGGTGGATATTCATGTATGATATTGCTCTATACATGCGTCACTTCTTCGGCTCGAAAGCGAAGCGCAAACAGAGCCAATCAGATGCTGCCATTGACATCAACCCAAATGCTGCCGAGGAGAAATTACAAAGTTCTGAAATAATGGAATCTTCCACTTACAAAAACGGAATGAATGTGCGAAATGGAATCGTACATGCAATTGCTATGTCGTAAAGCTAATGAACAATTAACCAAGAAAAGGTATTGATTGATAAATTTTATTAATCCTTAAGTTGATTCGAATCCTTATTTGCCTTTGAAGTGTCTTAAAGCTCAAATCAAATGATGATCAGTTTCTTCATAAATATCGAATCATATATTTTTAAGTGTAAATTTGTATTTACATTTGTGGATTGTCCCCAATTGACAAATTTTTCCTTCAGTTTTCCTATCGTTGATGAAGCATTTAATAGTGATTGTGAAGTCATTTTTTCCGCACTTTTACAATTGTATAGCGCTAAAAAAAGACTAGGTTTCCAAGCCGAATAGCAAACGTCCATTCTACTACTAATCGACACATTCAACCGTTAAGACAGTGCAGTCTTTGATCTACGGAATAGTTATTTGTTTAGCAATAATATCTGGTCACTTATACGCTGAAATTTGGCTTTTAACACAAAAAATGGAGCTTTTGTTGGAGTACATGGCCACAGTTCGTTATTCCATGCATAATTAAATCGTATTTACTCCGACTACTGAAAGTGAGGAGGAACTTTGTCTTCGGCTACATAGTGTTTTTTCCATACAAATCCAGTTTTACAAATAATTATCTGAATGGGTTGGGTGATGTATCATAATTAAGCCTTTCAGTCCTGATTCGAACGACTTCAAAGTTTAAAAAAGTTTTCTCAGTGCCGAGAAAAACCGCTTTTTTTTTTTTTTTATTAGCCCCCGGCCTGCTCAGTGCAGACCAACCGTGGGGGAGGGGGAGATGTCATCCATTTCGCCGCAGCCGGTCCCACCTTGAGGAGGCGGATGACACTGGGACCCCTCCAGCCGTGACCGAAGCGGGATTCGAACGCATGACTCTCGTGTTGAGAGACATGTGCCTAACCCACTCGACCACGGCTGCACTGAAATTTTTGCTTATCTCTTGTCTGATTTTGAGTCTGGTAACAGATGCGAGCAGCGAAGTGTGTTAGTAGGAACGTTCGTTTTTTGTAACCTAACCTAACAAGTTTTTGTTGAAAGTGTTCACTTATTTAGTGGCAGTTATGCTATAATCACGATCTGCAGCATTGGAAATTTCATAGCATCTGTTCTCTGCTTTATTTATGGCTAGTGTTTGTGATTTTTTTAACGTCCATGGCTGAGTAGTTAGTGCGTGAGACTCGTAACCTCTAGGTCGTAGATCGAATACCAGACTAATTTCTAATTTTTCTTATTGCACTTAGGAGCTGCTTTGTGTCGTTTTCTCGCTAGTTTTTAAAGCTTCACATAGCGTTTCCTCAGAAATAAAAAGCTTTTTATCTAAAACTGAAAAGATTTTTTTTTCTAAATTCCTTCTTTAAATAGCTTTTGTGGGCCTTTGAAGGTTCAAAGCTTAGTTTTTTATAAGTCTTTTCAATCTGCGTAAAAAGAAAATGTTTTGTTTTTTTTTGCGGTTTTTGAAGAAAAGTTTTTTTTTGTTACAAGCTTTAATTTTCAAACTTCATCACTCACGCGCAAAAAAAGGATAAAAAAAAGGAAAAAAAATTTTTATTTGGTTTTTATAAAGCGCTTCCTTAGCGCTTCAATGGCAATTAAAGCGATTAGCTATAACTCAAAAAAAATCTCATTGGCCATTGAAGCTTCAAAATAATATTAACATTTTTTCTGAATTTTCATTTTTTGAAGAAAACGGTAGTCGGATATGACCAAATTATAATCATAAATTCCTCCCATCTGCACCCTAGCGGGTTAAGGCCAGGGGCAATGATTTTGACTTTATCAATTGTTAGAAATTTTCAAACGAAATGAAAGTCATCTCCCGTTCTACCTTTCCGAGTTAGCAGTGGTGGTCATGAAGCTACATTCTGCACAATTTTGCCTCTTGAATGTACGCACCGGGACAACGCCAACATAACAGTGATTGATCATTGACTTCCTAATAGAGTACCGATAAGAGCAGAGCGCCTCATCACCTGTGAAATTGTCATGCTTTGATGCCGACTCAGTTTTGTCCAACCACTGACATAAACATAAGTCTTGTTACAGTCAGGAAAAGCGCAGTCGAAAAGCGCTGGGCTGCTGGGGGATTTCTGCAGCTTGTTTAACTCCTTTATTGCTTTCAATTCCTTTATCAGTTTTAATTTCACTACTATTGGAGGTGTGGACTGAGTGTCCTTATTGATTATCTCTGAGATGCCTGTTCATCTCTCGTAGAATGTTTCATAGCGAAAAATAGTGTTCATTAGCACCTTGAACTGGTTGTTACCTTTTGCCAATAGATTTGCTTTAAAATCTCCGCCATCTGTGAATTTAAGTTTGGCTGTCGGATTGTGCCACCAGTTGTCCTGATCACAATTTTTCTTGAGCCCATGATTGTCAAGATCAGCTCTAAGCTGCCTAATCCAATTTTTTTTTCGCCAATTTTTAGCATCTTTGGGTAGATCATTCTAACTATCGACTCCGTTGTTTTTAAAGGAAGCGTACAGCTGAACCCTTCTCCTGCAAAGTTGGTGTGCGACTGGCGTTGTTTTTACCTTTTTTCCATTCGTTTAGTTTCATGTCGTTTCTCTTTTCTAGCCTTAGACACATTCTTTTAGCACGGCGTTTAAACGCTTCTTGTCTACCAATTTCAGTGCATCTAATAACAAGGGTCTCTAAGCCGTAAAGCAGGACCGACTTTAGGAAGTTCTCGATGCGGAGACCCTTGTTCCTTAGTGTCAATGTTTTTGACACCAGGGCCTGTCTAAGACGTAGCATTGCTATCTTTGTCTTAGAAATGCGAGCGCTGATAACCTCGTCAGCGCTGTCATCAGTTGATATGATGCTGCCGAGGTACTCAAAGTTAATAACCTGTTTAACCTGTTCACTGAGCACATTGATAGGGACATTAGTATTGTCTTTAGTCTTGATTACAATACTTATAGTTTTCTCAACATATATTTCTAATTGAGCCAATCCAAAGGTTTTTGCCATCTTATTCAGCGACTTGGTAGCATTTTCTTGGTTGTCCGATATCAAAACCAGATCCTCAGCGTATGCAAAGTTTCTTATATCTCCACTGGTCTTACTTAGGAGGAAGTCAAAAAGGATGATGAACAACAATGGGCCTTAAACGCACCCTTACCGCACCTCCCGGTTCACTTCAAAAGTGTTATCCTTATCAAGCTTGCCGATGGGTTTGGTGTCGATGAAAGTTAGACAAAGAGTTTGCTGGTTTTCAATCCTTTTTTGAAGCAAACTTCTAATTGCTAAGATAGCTTGGCCTTTGACCTGTGGCTTCGGAACCCAAATTGATCGGGTGAGATCATGGGTATTCACCCTATTTGCAATCACTTTTGCGAACACTATGCCAAATTTTTCATGAAGGAAAATTCTCCCGTAATTGCTCGGTTCTGCTATGCTTCCTTTTTCGAACAGATTGAGTACTACTGCGTCCCTCCAAATTTGTGGAACTTTTACGGATCAAGCCAAATATCAGTGAAAATTCTTTTGAGAGGCCTGATAATTTACTTCTCGAGCAAGTTAAGAAGGTCAATGGTGATCTGACTCACCGGGAGCCTTGCCCGCGTTGATTTATCCCCGATTAGTTTTGCCGATTAGTTTTGCATGATCTGAGTGATGCCCGGTACTACCCACTCAACTGGCTCTAGTATCTCTCCAGACCGTGTTGCGAACGGCGAGATATAATCAATGAATGCACCTGAGCCTCTGGGGTGACGCCACGTTATATGCCTACTTAAATGGTTCTTGAGTAACGTGTTCACGATTTTTATATCGTGTGTCGAACAAAACTCCAGTATTTTTTCACCGTTTATGTTTGTTTCTTAGTCGGCAGTCCATTTGCAAGCTGGTGGTCCCATTTCGGTCAATTGCTCTTTACTGATTCAAATCACTTAATATCAGAGAACGAGATCCAAGTTAACGGCTGGGGATGCCGACTTTCATTACTCTGAAGAGATCAGTGTAGAAGCAATCAACCCGCTTTTTACCTTTTTTCATCATCGGGGTTAGTGGGACTAACAAACGACTTTTTTGAACGTCTCACTATTAATGCTACTTTTTAACCAGGCGACCATAACTTGGTCACTTTGACACCTACGCCTGGTTACTATCATTTTCAACGGATTGAAAATGAGAGCCACTCCGTCTCTACCTTTTCTCTCGGGGTCACTCGAGCACACAAATGTAATTTCAACTAAGATCGGAGACTCCGTCGCTGTTCAAGCGGGTCGCGCATAATCCCAGGACGTCAAACGCCGCTCTAGCATGAATTGTTCTAATTAGACTCTTTCAATTCCTCTAGGGTCCTACAATTCCAATATCCAAACTTACACGGTTGCTGCCTTACCAAAACATTGTATCGAGCTGATTGTTGTAATTTCCTGTTGGTTTCTTTCATTGGTTTGGTTGTAGGTAGTTTTTCAACAGGAATGTCTGACTAGACCGTATTACCCAACCTCTGTTAACCACCGAGTAGGCGTTTTGCACTTCAGTCGTTAGCCGCGTACAGACAGGTCTGATATGTTGTCCTTCAGTGACGTACACGTTGCCCGGGACCCGCCGCTAGGAGGTGAATGTTTGACTTTGGATCCAATGACTGAATTACTTTTATTTATACCAGCGAAGCGTAATATATTATTACCAAGAATTGTTTTGTTCTCCAACCTCATTTGGTGGCACTTCTGATATGTTCCAATGCAATCATTTTTAAGCTTTATTAAGCATGAGCAATTCAAAAGCATTTGTTGCTGCTTTTTTGGCTAGTGTGAGGCCCTATTTGAATGAAAACTTTTTATGAAAATGTATGGGATTCGTTGTTTTTTGTTGGTTTCTTTGGATGCTTTCAAAAATTTCAGCCCTTTCCGCAAATATTTCACTTTGTCAAAAAAACCACTGTACTGATTTTTGAATAAAATGTTACGCTTAGAAAATAGGCTGCTTTTCTATGTGCTTTTATATATGCATTTCATTTTTCCTTATACTCTATGGCCTTCGAAAGTTTCAGAAGGGGGATTTTTGACATAATTGTTTCTAATATTACCATTTTCTTAAATATTAGAAGCACAAATCTGAGATGAAAGTTTCAATCAAAAGAACAAAATTTTGGAATTTCCCTTCTTAAGCTGCTTTTCCCTAAATTTGGTAGAAAACATTAATTGGATGGCCTCAAACATTCCCATTTTTCGGCATTTTGGTTACTTTTTTATTTTTTTTGGATTTTTTTTCAAAAACTACCCTGCGAAGTTGAAATTAAGGGCTTAACCGAAAGCAAAAAACCAGTTATGCGACTCTCTTCTTCGCAAGAATCTACGCCTTACCTTTTTAAAAATAAATTTGACATTAGTAAAGATCCAATTGTTGAAATGTTTCCTGTTTTTTGGGCATTTTTTTTTTCTGAAAAACTAACCTGTCGATTCTGCGTGGAAATCTTCCCTGCATAAGAGGCTATTTTCATACTTTAGTAGAGAAACGTTTATGGATTTAGGAAAAGTCAAATTTTGAGTTTGTGATCATTCAGTCAAATCTGAAAGAAAGAATTAACTTGAGATAGTAGTAGTTTTCTCCTTTAAATAAGCGGCTCATCCCTACTTAAGCAGAGAAATCACTAGGGTGTTGCGTAAAAAAAATCTTTTTTTTTTAAAGTTTTTTCCGTATCAATACAATATGACTAAAAATATCAAAACAGGCGCATCCAGCGTTAGCTAGGTCAATTGTTTAATTCCAAACAACCGTGGCGCAGGTGTCGGTAAGTGAGACTCCTAATCAACAGGTCAGATATTCAATTCCGGAACATTGAATTAGTTTTTATTGGTAGAATTTTTGCTACAGCATTGGCAATTCGATAGAATTTGTAGCTGCTCTATTGGTGGCTAGTGTTAGTAAAATTACAAGCGATCGTAGAGCAGATGTGAGAACTTGCTACTCCTAGTCTAGCAAAAAAAATCTTAAGTTGTTTTTTTTCTAAGTCTTTTCCTTTTGCCTTATTTCACTTAGTTTTGCCCGTTTAGAGCTTTTTTTTGCAATTTTCTCACTTGTGTTTGTGAAACTCAGCTTCGCCTCTGTGTTTAAACTTTGTTTTTAAAACTTTCATCTCATCACGCACAAACAAAACGTAACGAAAAAAGTGCTTTTTTTCAGTTTTTATGAAAGTCGGAATTTCGTGCTTTTTGCGCTTTAACTCGATAATAAATATTTTGGAAAGAAAGATGCGGTGGCAATCAGTTAGGGTTTTCTACTGTTCCGTTGAAGTTAGATAATTTATTCTCGTTGAATGTCTTTACATAGTGATCCATTTAAATTACTTTGGTAAATTAATCAAACTGAACACTCTTCCTCGGTGCTTCATGATGTTGCTGGTGTTCGTTGTTCAGTGCTTCGCACACACTGAGTGTGCTGCACTTCTTGTCCACAGAGCAGATAGAGGGCAGATCCAGTTTGGACGAGTCCACAGAGAGGGTTCGGCTGTTGTCGTAGTACATAAACTCGTTAGGGTCCTGTTCTATCTCGAGCATCACTCGGTCTGTAGGGTTGGACTCCACTGTCTCGTAGTAGAAGTTGGACTAAAATAAAATCAATTGAGCAGGTATTTTATTGAGAAAATTGCTGTATAAAAGATTTCATAGATTTTATCTATTAAGACGACTGATCTAAATTTAGATAAGACTGATTTTTTGGGTTAGTTATGCCCATGTTTTTTTCGTTCCGAAAATCTGATTTGTTTCTAGTGCGAACAGGTTTGAATTAAAAGCATGAAATCTTCGGATTTAATTTAGCATCCGTGCTGCCAGTATGCTCGAATCTCCTTTTAATTAACAGCTTAAGTTGTCATCGAGTCAAGTTCCCACGTGGTCAAATGACAGGGAGTGAACTTGTACGGGAATTGCTTTAATAGGAATTAGGTTGTAGAACAGTTTTTGACTTACACAGTGATGTTTTATAAAAGGGAGGTTTTGATTCTAAAATGTGAGGACTCTGAGTTCTGCAAAAAAAATCGGCGTATTCTTTTTTATCTTGCCAAGGTTTTGGCAATTTAAATGGTTGTTCCGTCCGATTTTCGAAAAAAGTAACAAACATTTATGCTTTGGTTTTTTGCACAGAGCAGAGTTGAATTTTTCATAAGCCATTTTTGACAGATTTTTTTATCATTTGGAAGGTACTGATGTCCTGAGATCACCAGCGGATGCGGGGGTTGAAAGCTATCTCAAGGATTCGACCCCCTGCGTACCCAAAGGGCCCCCCTTTGTACTATTTTAAGATGTCCAGTTTTGTAAAGGCGCCAGAGTATACTAATTTTGAGGGGGGAGCGCGCGCCGAAAAAACGCAATTTTTTTGGCCAAATTTTTCCAAAAAGTGCTGAAAAACGCCTTTTTTGGCCTGTTTTTTTTCTTCAAAAATTTGCCTGTGGAGCAGAAAATTTGGTCAAAATCCGTGTGAACGGAAAAAACAGACCCATTTGTATCGACTTCTCAACCTTTTTCGAATTGTCTTGAAATCTATATCTTGGTACTACGATAGTCGATCCCATCAGAAAATTGAGAAAAAATGATAAAACATTTTTATTTTTTGTTTAAATTTTCTCTTAGCTTTGAATTTTCGTTTTAAGTATCGTAGTCACAAAATAATGTGCTATTCGCACAGCAATAGGCTATCCTTGTTTTCCTTAATGGTAAGTTAGCACTCGCCTGTAATCCGTCCTTCTCCCATTTGTAGGCTTCGGTTGTTGATCCGTCTTGAAATGTGTAGGTGACATTTCCCTTGAACTCAGCGTCATTTAGCCAATCGGGTTTCAGTAAACCACAACCAGCAGCCGCATTACAACAGTAGCAGCAGTCACTCTCATCCGGGTAGTAGAGATATCTGCAACGGTTTTTCGGTTCTCTTCTATTAAAGCCCCACCCCCCCCCCCCCCCCCCCCCACCACGCAAAATATTTCCACCCATCAGAATTACAAACATCAAACTAAAGTGGAGCAATTATTGTCAAATTGTTTCTAATGTAGTTTTTTTGTACAAATTTGGCACCAACCCATTTCATCAAATCAATATTATCTGCTAATTTTTACTTTTTGAAGATATCAACAGTAAGTCCTTTCGACACAATTAAAAAAGGTGAGCTTGAGGTCTTTGCTCACCTGTTTCCGTCGACAACGATGTGTGAGCAAGGTGTGTTGATGAACTGGTACTGGACCCCGTTGGTGCCACAGTATCTGTCATATCTACCATTAGCCCTGTCCAGTCGGTATCTGAAGTAATCAACAATTTTCAAAAGTTTTCGCCATCAGCGCGAATTTAATCCAAAATATAAGTTTTGCAGCTGCTGTACTTGTATCTGTAAGTTACTTCTTCAATATTTGAGTGTTAACTTTGAATTTCCACACGAGTTTACGCAGATTATGTTTTTTTTGTATATATTTGATGCTTTTTTATCAAATGTTTAATTTGTGACCTCATGTTAGTGAAGTCGTAGATGAACGTGGCAGATGTTTCGTGACTCCCAGTCAACCACAAGGTCTTGTCGGTGAAGTTTTGAGTGAACTGGTCAGGCCATAGAGGGTAGCTGGGCTGAGATACCTTGGGAGGAGCGCACAATGCAATGGCCGCTTAAATAATCATTTCCGTTTGGATTAAACAGCAAATTAAAACATCCACACTGAAATATAAATTTAGTTTCACTAGTCTCGGTTAAAAAATTAACCCCGCGCAATAGCAGGGAGTTAACCGATAACTTAAAAACAGCATTAACAGAAAAGTATGGAATTAAAATACTTATTGAGTATTAATATAATAAAAAAGAGTTATGATAAAATAAACGCGAGAAGTATAGAGAAATAAAATATCCATTGAGTGTCAATGATCGAAGTGAAGACACCTACTTAAGTCATGTGATTTTTTTCTGGAAAAGGTCCTAAAAATTGTTCATGCGGAAGTTAAATTAAAAAAGAAAAGTGTAGGGAAATAAAATACTCATCGAGTGTCAATGATCGAAGTGAAGACACCTACTTAAGTCGTGTGAGTTTTTTCTGGAAAAGGTCCTAAAATTGTTCATGCGGAAATTAGTTTTCGCAGTTTGAGTTTCTATTTCTTTCACTGTTCAAATCAAAACTATTTACTCTTGGAATGCAAGTTACTCTGTCCAATTACTTAAGTGCGAATAACGCGGTAAAGTGTGAATGAATTTTAATTTCGAAAGTGGACTTTCATTTTAAGATTTTCCAGCAAAATGAAAAAGATAGCTATTGACCCAGTTTTCTATAATTGGTTAAGTTGTATGAAAAATGGCAATCCTCGAAATTTGAAGAGCTTTGCCTTGATACGTTTTTTTTTCAAAAGTTGATTTCGAAAATTGACGTTTTTTCAGAACAAAATTCAATAAATTTTAGGCTATCGGTTTCCTTGATTTGATTGACATTTTCCCCACTTTCTACCGGCTATATTAATCAGCGTGAAGTTCAAGTTTTCTGCAATTAAATTTTTCCGTGAATTCCGTCATTTTGTTCTTTCTGGGAAGGACATGAAATTTCAAATCTCGGGGTCGCAGGTTCGAATCCAGCAAAAAAAAGTTTCTTTATTTTGAGGCTTATTTCTATCTTTTCTATTTTTAGAGCAGCTTTTTGTCATTTTTTTGCTTGTGTTTGCAAAGCGCAGCGTCGCCTTAGTGTATAAGTTATATCAACTGGCTGTGCGGCTGTCAGTTTTCTGTTCTAGCCAATACCGTGTGGTCCTGGTCACTTTTTAAGCGGCAACCAATGTTGGGTTCAAGTCGTCTTAAGTCCGGATTGAGGTTTTGTTGCTTCGTTTCATTTTGCTCTATCCAGATTATTGCACTTCAGCAGTTAATCGGTGCGCATGCTAATCGACTGGTCTCCAAAAATTAGTTATTCTGAGTAGAGAATTGTTTCGAAATTAGCAAAGAATGCTCGCCGATACACAAAAGAATTCAATTAACCTCAGTTAAAAATTAAATTAAACGATTGGCTAATGTGAGCATTATGACCTGAGCTTTGCGCCAAGAAGCGGGTTGTTTTTGCGGGCTAAATGCAATTTAAGCAGAAGACTTTTTCTCCTGTCTAGAAACGATGTGCACTAGAAATTTATGAATTTGTACTAACCCACTGAAATTATAACCGCAAAGACTGTATTAGAGTTCATTATAGATGCTGTTGCTCTGACCAAAACTCAGTATCAAAATGAACTCGATCGATATTTCTAACTGAGATCGAATGTTATCTCAATAATTGGTACGTTTATATTAACTCATCAAATAGGCAGCTCAGTCCACCTTTGAGCCAAAAGAAACAACGTTTAATTGAGATATCTGATAAAACACCATGATAGGCAGCGAGTAAGAATTGTTTCAGATTGCTGAAATGTCAGGCCGAAGACGCAATAGGCAGAAAAGTAGCGAAAATACTACAAATCAGATCAAAGCAAAATTGAGTAAAGCAAATAATTCTCACGAAGAAATCGAGTTACACGACCAGAGATTCAGGGCTCGGCTCGAGGAATTCAAAACTCCGATGGAAGAAGGAGCTTTTAGACATCGATTGGATCCCGAAAATCCTTCGCCTCAAGAAGAAAAAGAGTTCACATTTCTACGAAATCAAACAAGCGGACCACAACGGCGAATGTACCTCAGTGCTCGGAACTTCATTTTAGCAGAATGGGTCAAAAATTGCAAAACGCAGTTAACATATAGCGATGCGGCCGCTGCACTATTTAACAAAGGCCTAGCATATACCAAAGAACAAACCAATGTTAGCTGTAAAGCGTTCGGATTTTTGGAACGTAACGGGTACATCAATTCTGGTAAATTTGAAATCACCCATCCAAAACCGCAAACGAACAAGAAAGTCGTGGTTATAGGTGCCGGGATTTCAGGCCTGTCTTGTGCTCGTCAGTTGTCGTTTCTCGGTTTCGATGTTACAGTTCTAGAAGCGAGAGATCGCGTTGGCGGAAGGATAGAGACTTTCCAAAAGGGAAGCTATGTTGCTGATTTAGGTGCAATGATTATTACAGGGCTTGGTGGTAACCCTTTTTCTATTTTGGCTCGTCAATTCAACATTCCGTATCGAAAGATAAATAATGAGTGCAAATTGTATGATAATTTAGGAAAAGAAATTGCCGAGGGTAAAGATCAAGTGATAGAACAAGAATTTAATCGGCTCTTAGAAGCTGCGAAGTATGCTGCACATCAACTTGGTTTCACGGAAACTATTCCGGGTAGACCTGTATCATTGGGTCAAACAATTGAGTTAATCATCATGCACCAGGAACAAATGTTGTTGAAAAAGTCTGAGAGATTCTACCAAACTTTGACGAATTTGCAAAGACAAATCAGAGACCGAGCTAAAGAAGCGTCGACACTTTACCACAACATTGACTACGAGAAATCAGTGGTCAGGAAATTTGACGGGAAGCAAGATCGCTCAGTTAAAGAAGAATTTCAGTTTAGATCTGCTGTTTATAACGTTGAAGACTTGACTAAGCGATACGAATCTGCGATTCAGGAAGTCAAAATTTTACAGGAGAAGTTTGACAGTATGAAAAATGACGTACCACTGGATACCTACATGAGTTCGGAAGACCGGCAAGTTTTAGACTGGCATGCTGCTAATCTGGAGTTCGCAAACAGCACACCTTTGAATACGCTTTCGTTGAGTCATTGGGACCAAGACGACGTGAATGAGTTTGCCGGTGATCATTACTCGGTAGAATCGGGACTCGGAGTTATCCCGGAAGCCCTTGCAGAAGGCGTGGACATAAAATTCAACACAGCAGTGTCTAGTATAGACTATAGCACCTCAATAGTAATGGTAAACACGAAAAACGTAGAAGGACTACCCATATCCAAACGGGCGTCATCAAGTGATATGTCTTCAGGCCTTTCCTCTAACGAAGGCAATGGAAGTCAAGTGTTCAATGCTGACGCGGTAGTAGTGTCTGTACCTCTGGGTGTCTTAAAAGAGGAACCAGTAGTGCTTAATTTCAAACCGGAACTTCCGGAGTGGAAAACGGCAGCGATTGATAGACTTGGCTTTGGCAACTTAATGAAGGTTGTCCTGTGTTTTGAGAAGAGGTTTTGGGATACTTCGACTAACATGTTTGGATTCGTGAACACGACCTACTCATCCAGAGGAGAGTGCTATTTGTTCAACAGCCTGTGGAGTGCACCTGTACTCATATCTCTGATTGCAGGTGAGACTGAAAAATTAAACGTTCCAATTGCCAGTGGATTGTTGTTATTGTTGAATAGAATTTACAGCTACTGCTGATGGGATGGCTCCCAGTGAGTTTTTTATAATTTCTTCCTCGAGTTTCTGCAGCCACTGCAATCACATACCATTAACCAGCTGCAGATGTTACCTGCTGAAAGTTCAGGTATTGAGGTAGGTAAGATGAAGATGGCACATTGAAAACAATTTTGATAATTAGCTGCTATAAATAGACGTCAGACAGTAGTGGATTTAGGGGAAGGAGATTTAACAACTTCACCCCCCAAGTGCGTCCTGAAAAGGCGTGCGCGAACAAAGTAGTTTCATAGTCTAAGTCTTCAAAACGGTGCTTTTGGCTCATTTCTGGACCAACGTGAACAATATCTCCCTCCATGTCGACCAAGTAAACTATCTACCCCCCGAGCTGCTAGCGTAATTAAGTTTAAGCTCTAGAATTTATATCCCTCTAGAAACACATAGATCCGCCCTTGATGTCAGTTTTCATTGCTGTTATTTTAATCAGTTTTTAATCTGACCTAGGTGAATCGAATGCAATAATGGACGAGCTAGACGACAGCACAATTGTTGAAAGATGCTTAGAACGACTTCGTACCATCTATCCCGACATGAGCAGACTGAAGGAGAAAGTAGTCACGCGATGGAAGGACGACAAATACTGCTTAGGTCAGTGAAAATTTCAAAACTGTGTTAAAAAACAATTGTAAATAAGTTCATTTGAACGATGATTTTAGAAATTCATTAACAAGATTATAAAGCTTAAGTTTCTAATTTTTTGCCGTATTGATTTTGATACTGGTTTTTGATATAAACAGTTGCGATAACCAGTGTTTTTTTTTATCGGTAACAAGAATTTTTCCGGTCAACAACTTTGTTTTAATTTGAGATTTTTTCGTGAACTCTTTTACTGCTCTCCGCTTAGTTGTAGTGTATCTTAACATTCGCATGCGACTTATCTTGTCCTGCAAGTTACTTTTTGACCAAAAACTTAAAAAAAAAACATTTTTTTGACCACCCCTTTGCCCGAAAATAAAAAAAATCAATTCTTTTTTCTCGACCTAGTTTTTTCTTAAAAAAAGTCTCTTTTTAAATTTTGGTCAAAATGGTTCGATTTTTAAGTTTTAGTCATCAAGACAATTATAATATATTGTATAAAAGAAACTTTGGTCTTATCTTCCATTTTCAGTTCCTTTACACCATCGAGCTTAGTGTTATATTACTAATCATTTTTTTCTTAACCAACGCGCAGTGGCACTTTGCTGCATAGAATTGGCGATTTAAAAACTATAGCAAGTGTTTCAAAATCAAGTATTTTTGAGACAAAAGAATTGTTTGATTTTAGTGTTAAGCCAAATGAGCCAAAAAAAGTGTATCGGTTTTAAGTTTTTGGTCAAAAGAGCTATTATAAAAGTTCTTTTGATTTGCAAATTACAGTTCGTTCAATCATTTTTGGTTAATTTACACATGCGAGCTGGCGAGCGTGTTGTTTTTTTACGAATTTATTTTTTTCAAACCAACTCGCATTTCACAATGCGTTTTTGGTGGCATTTTTACTACGTAGTACTGGCAATTGAATAGCATTCATTATCTCACTGGATCCATTATCTCCGCTATCTCTTCGCCCTTTTTGGTATCTGAAGTTTGCATCCTTTCAATGACCGTGGTGCAGATATGTGGACATGAGACTATTGATTTCTGGTTCGATTCCGGCACATCACAAGTTTCATTTTTAAGACCTTTTTTGTCTATTCTCTCCTTATTTCATTTTTTTTCTTCTTATTGCTATTTTTGCCGTTTGTGTTTGCAAAGTGCAGGTTTGCCTATGAATAGTACATTTAATTGGATCTTAAATTTTGAAGAGAAAAAATCTGGTTCTTGATTTTGTTTTTCTACAGGGGCGGAATTAGGGGACCCTTTCATGAATTCGACCCTTTAACCACATAAAGAGTCCAACTTCATTACTAATTACACTATGGAGCAGCTAGTGTATTAATACGAACCTTCTTTTGTTCTAACCTAACTCGCAGATAAAAGGTTATTATATGGTGGCAAAGTGTTCATTATTTGGTGACACTTTTGCTATAATCGCGATCTGTAGCATTGGTTTGTGATCAATTAAGTGTCCGTGGCTCAGTGGATAGTGCGTGAGACTCATAATTTTTAGGTCGCGATCGGTCGGAGATCGAATCCGAGACGTAGCCAAATTTATCCTAATTTGAGGCTTATTTCTTCTTTTTCTTACTGCACTTAATAGAGCTGCTTTTTGTCATGTTCTCGCTTGTGTTTGCATCTGTGTTTAAGCTTTGCCTCTGTGTTTAAGACATCTTTTTTTTGCCGTCCGACCCTAACTTTTTCTGAAGACTCTTATAGGCCAAGTTATATTTTTTGAGGAGGGAGTGCATCAAAAAACGCACGTGTTTAGTCAAATTTTTTCTAAAAGCACCCAAACAGCATTTTTTGCCTACTTTCTTCAAAATCTCAGTGGTTTGGCGAGCTCGGAATATTCATTTGGTAGACCTAAAAAAAAGTGTCGGCTAAAAATTAAAAGGTCCGCCATGGACCTTCCTGCTGCTGTTTCGAGAAAAGTTGAAATTCCTACAGTTTTGAGTCCCGTATTTTGATATCTTGTCGATGCGTAGAAGTTTTGAAGAAACTCAATTTAATGTCAGTTAAAACGAGTGTTTAAAACAAAACTAAAACAAAATTTCAATCTTTTTTTAATGTTTACCATCCAACGCATTTTCGCAGATCCGTAAGCAACTTGATTATACTTTTATTGATGGGTCTTGTAATTGTACATCTTTTTTTTTCTGAAATTGTTTTGACATTTTTTAATTTTCGCCTTATATTGCGTCCGATGTTTCGACGATAGTGATACTCTAAACTTTCTGACACGATATTTTATAAGTGAGACGCTTAGAATTATCCGTTATTGAATTGTTCAGAAATGGCATGCTTCGGAGGTTGAAGAATTAAAAAAAAAAGTCCGATATAATATTTTTTTCCTGTAACAGTCTCTGCTGCGTGTTTGGTAGTTTTAACAATTGAGATTGATGTGGTCTTCGTTTTTAAGCTTTTACAACGGTGAATTCGGTTTTTCTTCGATCGCCTAAAGTTGAGAAAATACTTAGTTTTAACTGATTCTTCTGGAACAATTTCTATATGCCCATTTATTCAAAGGTTTCAATTCAAGTTCTGTTCTTTTTTGATTGACGGCGTGTCTAAATTGTTCCATGTGCCTGTGTCGAAATTGTATTGCAGCTCTGAAAGATGATCTTGAATTTGTTTTGGTCGTGTCACGTTTTATTCGACATTGTTGTTCCAGGTGCATACTCCTATGTTGCAATAGGAGCCACAGGCGAAGACTATGACCTTCTGTCGAAGCCAGTGTCTGGATTGAGATCGGGGAAGAATAACCTGTTCTTTGCAGGGGAGCACACAATGAGGAACTACCCTGCATCTGCTCATGGCGCGTATTTGAGTGGGCTCAACTCAGCTGCACAAGTAGCAGATCAGTTGATTGGAAGTGTGAGCTCAAGTTATGCTTCAGAAAAATAACAAACTTTGACTGAACTGATTGCTTTGAAATAGTCGAAAGGTGATACCTAACTGATGCTGTTTTTGATTACCGCTTTTGAGTTTCTTATATAAGGTTATTTGAATAATTTAGTATTTTTCAATCATTTTTTTGCCAGTATAAAAGAACTTTTTCCTCAATATAGAGCGATTCTGTAAATGTTGTTTTTAAGCAAACATTTTACACTGGTGATTTTTACGCTTCCGAGAGGCAAGCGCCGTGAAAACGGAATATTGGTTTTTTACCAGGCAAAACAACTTGACTAACAAAATCTCAATCATTTTTTCATCTTAGTCAGCTCGATTATCTCAGACACAATTGGAGCATGCCTGCTTTTTATACAAGCAAAGCTTGTGTGATAGTATGAACTCTCTTTTTTTTCCAACCTATGTCGCAAATATTAGTGTTCATTTTTAAAAAATGTGCATAAGATCAATAACCAGCTATTAAGTACTGCTAATGCTCAGGATATTAACACAGACTATTGTATTACAATTAGCACTTTAGCTTCAAGGGTATCATGGATCTGTAGCGTAGAGGTAAGTAAGGAGACCCGCAACAAAATAACAGGGTTCGAACCTGGGCAGACTCAAAGTTTTACTCATTTAGTATTTCCCAGTAGCGTCATCAGTCATATTTTTGCTTGTGTATGCGAATTACAACTTCGCCCGTGTGTTAAATAATCGTTCTATTCGAAGTTTTTGCTTTTTTACGATTGCTCTAAAATGCCAAATTCGCAAAACTAAAGAAAGAAGTAATTATTTTTTGTTCAGGTTGTGATAATTTTTTTTCTAATTTTTTTTTCCTGTAAAAGTCTGGAAATTTGCTCTCGCTCAAATAAGATTTTTTGACAAGTTGACTTTGATTTCGGTTTAAGATCAGTTCTTTTGCTTTTCTATGCCCGCTATGTAACAGCCAAATGGTAAAGGTCACAAAAAATGTCAATGACTTCTAGTCTCAAAAATGGACTTTAATTTTCTCAATTGACAGCGGAATAAAAATATTTATCCTATGATCCAGTTTTTTCTTTATGAGATAATGTTCAAAAAAGTGCCACTCACAAGCAATACCTAAAATTCAAAACTTTCAAGCGTGATTCTTTTTTCGTAAAATAATCCTTTCCACTAATTTTTTCGGTTTATTTGTTCTTTTACTTCATCCAACCATCTGCTCGCTAAATTTTTCTATTCCTGCATTCGGTTTATTCTATAGCGGACTCGTGACCTCATTTTTTGAGTTTTCCATGTGTGAGTTTTGAGGAGGCGAATTTGAATTTAAATTTCTAAAATGAAATTAAAGTTTTCTTGAAATAATTTTTTTCGTTCAAGTCAACAGTTATCTGTTTAAATTTTGTAGATTTTGATAACGCTTTTTAATTTTTTAACTTCTATTTAAAAATTTTAAGGACTTTTTCCTGTAAATAAATGAGTTCAAAAAATTTTAACTTTAGAAGGATGGTATTTTTTCTTATTAATTTTCCATTTATTTATTTGTTTTCAAGTTTTTGGTATTGATTCACCTCTGAGAATGTTTTATTTTACAGCATGAAACCTAACTTTCTCTATCTTTCTCTAACTGGTATTGTTATACTGTATTGATGCAGATAATTGAAGTCTAAGTGTTTTGGGCTGAAAAGTTAATTGCTTTTACGCTTGCGATTAGCAAGCGTCATCAAATCGGAATACAGACTTTTTGGGGGATAACTCGTAAAACAGAAAACTTGGTTTATATTTCCTTGGAATTTTGTAGCTTCTTCAGCGCACTTTGTTTAGAGTTAACAATTACGACTGGGAGGTTAAAATTTCTAGGTCAAAACCTTGCCGGGTCCGTTTTCTTTCAAACTCTTTGAATAGCGTTTTTTGTTTTCAGAAAAATGTCTGCTTATGGCTGTACGCTGACATTTTGTCGGCTTAGCTGTCACGTCACGGATTCTTTTTTTGCGCTTCAATTATTTTGATTGTGTTGCAAACAAGTTTTAATGTAATTGAAGGTGTTTTGTCTATTTCAGCAGTTTGTAGCTTACCACATCTGATTTTTTTTGTAATTTCTCTGTTTTTTTTCTTATTTGGCCTCAAAAATTTCGGCTGTAAATTTATTGGCTTATTGACCTAATTTTGCCTCGCTTTGCAGAAAAACAGATTTTAATTATGATGTTTGTATCCGTAGGGGGCGTTAAATTATAGAATTTGAGGTTTAAAAAGTTTTTCATGACAACAATTTTGTTTCTCAATGGAGTTTACCTAATTTTTGACGGCAAAATACCGCTTGAAAAAGGTTTCCGTTGGCGGTTGTCGGCCTATATTCTCTAAATTTCTAAAATATAATATAAAACAGATGAAGCGTGCCATCCTACTGAATTAATTATTCAAAAGACCTAAACTATTCAGGTTTTTCTGATATGCAACGTATTAACGCACCATATGCGAAGGCTAGCTGAAGATTTCAAATAGTCCAATTTCTCGTGATTTCAAAATTCTGGTGATAAATTTTTTATTTAATTTATGGCAGAAGGGAGTTTCTTTGCTTATTTTACAGCCGCCGGAACTCTTCTATAATACTTGACGACTTATAAAGAAATATTTTGAATTCTGAAACGTAAGTAATGTTTGTGTGTTATTCCCTGCTTGCTGCCTCGGATCTTTGTGCCACCTATTTATATTACAAATCCAAACGGTGAAAAAGCCAGTCTCTGGCCACTTTTAGTTTCCTTTATTTTCACAAACTGGTATGCGGAAAACCGGTAAGATAATGAAATACCGCTGGCTCACTGAAAGCTTGGAAACTTCAAATCTTAAAAGTCATTAAATTTTGATCAAAACAGAAAGTGATCAGAAAAAGTTGATTTTTGTAGTGTTTATTGAAAGACCTGTACAAATTTTTAAAACGTTTTGCAATTCGATTAGGTAATACTTTAATCACAGCAACTTTTTGCAACACTTTTCGGGTTTTTGCGCCGGTTTGTTCAATTTTGGTTTCATTTTCCCGTTCATTTACATTTTCTTGAAAATCGACGCAAAAGATCATTAAAATTTTATATCTCATATATTAGCAAACTTTGATTTTTTTTTCAATATCCACTGCTAAAGTTACAATAAAATGCATTTGCGCAGCTGGTTCTCATGAATCTAGACAAATATGGTTTTATTTCTGACAATTCACAAAATTTTAGTGTGTTAAAATTCTCCATCTAAGCCTTCAATATTGGTTACTGTTTTTTAAAAACAATTGTATGCGCGGCCTTTGAAAGTTTTCAGTTTGAAAAATCTGTTAGACTTACCCATTTTGTAACTGTGTAACTGTGTTTGCTTGGTGACAGATCATAATACGGTGGCATGTCACGGAACCGAGAGCCCGGATAGCAGAAAAACAAATTCGTTCCCGGATAGCCGAATTTGTTTTGTTCCCGGGTAGTCGAAGTTTTTTGTGTTCCCGGTAGCAAAAAAAAATCGATTCGATCCGCACCAAAAATTAATTGCTGAAAATCTTAAATTGTTTTACCATAAATAGTGAAATTTTTTTCAAAATTCATTATAGCCCCCATCTCAAGTAGTTTATAGACCCTCAGTTAGAAAATTTATATGTTGGGGGAAAATTGCTCTAAAAAACTGAAAATTCACTCGAGCTCCTTTTGAATCGGCTAAACTTGAGCTACCTCGAAACTCCTCGAAAATCAAAAAATCCGATTGATCCACACCAAAAATAATCGCTGAAAATGTTAAATTGTTTTGTCATATATAATGAAAAAGTTTTTTTCCCATTATAGCTCCCTCATCGCAAATAATTTATAGAGCCTCAAAATTCAAAAGTTTTATGATTGGGGAATGGATTGCTTTGAAAACCTAAAAATTCGATCGAACCTTCTTTGTATTGGCGAAACTTGATCTATCCAGAAACGCTGTAAAGATCTTGTTTTGGACACAACGTTGCTACTGAGGAAAAATACTTGAAAACAGTTGCAAAAAAAATTGAAATTTTGAACAATTTTTGGAGCCTGTTCTCTGTGTCCATCTCAAGGCACTGAATTTGTTTTGCTCGTATTTGTTTATTTACTGGTTAGCCGATTTTTTTTGTTCACTGATAATCAAAAAATAACTTTTTTTGGATAGCCGAAAAAAAATTGTTCTCGGATGGTCGAAAAAAAATTGTTTCCGGATAATAGACGGAAAAACTTTGCATTATCAAAGTGGTCGCGTTATTATTGCTTTCTAATTTCATGAAATCAAATTAACTCATAGAAAATATTTTGAGTCTATTGGATTTTTAATTGGCGAAGTTCCGAATAAAAAGCAGGATAGTTTAATCGCTCCATTAAAAAAAATCCAAATTTTGTTACAAAATTTTTCTTATTCTCAAATTCAGTTTCACTGCTAATGCACCTAACAATTTTTCTTTACATTTTTTTCGGCAATTCGGTAATGCAACTCTGTGGTTAGGAAATCAACATACCAAAACTTTTTTAAAATGTTTACTCGTGTGGAATTTGAAGCAGCTTTGACCAAAAGTTTTTACGCAGAAAATTATGGCCCTCGGAATAGTCAATTTTTGATTTTTGACCGTTATGAGAATCGTTTTGACTTTTCTCAAAAACCAGCCACTCAAAACCGATAATGTGGGTTCAATTGAGATAATGCGTAGAGGGAATCTCCCTGCATTAGCGGCCAATCACAAAATTTTTTACACAAAGTCTTATCGCCTTCGAATTTTTTTTTGATATTTTGACTGTGTCTCAAAATTTTTGACTTTTCTCGAGAACTACCTTCCCAAATCTGAGATTTTGAGAATCATCTTTTCTGCTTGAGCGGCCACAACTTGGTTTTTTGCAGAAAAAAAACCTATGGGTTTTGGAAAACCTTTTGACCATTTTCTAGAATTTTTGATCGTTTTGTAGAAACTTTTTGAATTTTTTAAAATTTACATAAGAAAATCCGAGATGAAAAGTTTAATTGAAGGAACTACAGGGTGTTTCAAATAAACTGTAATTTTATAAAACGCTATAACTTTTTTTTGAGAAGAGATAAATACACAATTTTTTCTGCACAAGATAGATAAGTGGCGGAGATTTGAATATCTGATAAAATTGTTTTATAAAAGATGCTGAAAGTGTCCGCCGTTTTCAGCAACACAGCTTTGTAATCTTTTCGTCAAATTTCTCAATGACTCTTCGATATTATCGGGCGTTATTGTATTTCGGGCATCTTCTACAGTTTGCATGAGTTCGTCAATACTTCGTGGATTCGCACCATGAACAATTTTCCCCAGATGACCCCACAGCCAAAAATCTAGGGGATTCAGGTCCGGACTCTGAGGTGGCCAGGGTATAGGGGTTCGTCTACTTATAATTCTGTCGTTGAACTTTGTCCCAAGCCAACTGAGTACGCGTCCCGTGCAGTGACATGTGGCTCCGTCTTGCATAAACCATATGCGCCTCAAGTTTCGTCGTTCTCGAAGGACTGGCCAGAGGTCGTGTTCCAGCATGTTCAGATACGAAAACTGGTTCAGTGTTATTGGTCGTTGCTGTTCGTCTACGAACCAAAACGGGCCAAGAACAGCTCCTTGAAGGAAACCCATCCAGCACATCACTTTCTTTTTGCCCTGGTACTTGCACTCCGCGTATTCTCTGGGGTTAACTAAACTCCATCTCCTATCGTTTTGAGAATTTGGAGGGCTGTCGAGCACCCACCACTTTTCGTCTGAGAAAATCACCCGTGATGTGAAATCTGCCGCTGTTTCAATCTTGCTCAAGCACCAGACACCAAAAGTAAGTCTCAAGCCGAAGTTCGTCTCTTCAATTTGGTGTGTTTTGAGCACTTTGTAGGGCTTCATTTTGGCAGCTCTCGCGACTCTCCAAGTTGTGGTGCGGCTCAACCCCCAACCAGCTGCTGCTTTAGTTATTGAATCTTTAGGATGAAAATCAAAGTGTCTTATAATACTGGTATTCGCTTCATCGGTTCCTGGTAACCCCGTTCCTTTTCGATGCTGCCCTTGAAATTTCGATAACCCGCCTCTTTCTTGGAACCGTTTCCACACTCTGATAAACTGCGTAAGTTGAAGTGTTGATGCAACGCGTGGGGCAATGTAATATTCATTGATATATCTTCTCCGAACTTCAGTTGGGGATTCATAAATTGCAAACAAACAAATGATCCGTTTTTCTTCGTTTACTAAGAAAACCATTTCGTTGTTTTCATTTACGTATGAACAAATAGTTTAAAAAATTTTTTGTTGCGTGGAAGCGTGAGATAGTTGGAAAATCGCGGGTATTCACTATCGAGTTCAATTCATCAACGCAGTTTTTGAGTTTTATCAAATCTCCGCCTGTTCTACATAATATCACCGAATTTGAAGTCGAACTGATCAACAGTTATGAAATGAGAAGCTTTTATAACATTACAGTTTATTTGAAACACCCTGTAATTGCGATAAGTGTTCCTGCAAAAGCGGCGACTACGTAATTTTTATAGGAAAAATGTTGTCTTAAGAAAATTGTTTATCTCAAAATTTTCAGCCTTGTCGCTTTTTTTACTATCGAAACAACTAAATTTTGAGCAAAATCCAATTTTTGAAATCACATTTTTTGTGCTGCATCAGTATAGCAACTTCATTCATTATCAAACACGTACCTCCAGCTTTAGCCGGGCCTTGGATTAATTTTTTAATCGAAGATTTGTTTACCTAATTTTTTTTTTCAAAGTTTACAGTTTATTCGACTTAGGTTTTTTTTTTATGTTTGTGTTGTGTCCTTAGTAGTGCGAAGCTCTGCTTTGCTTCTGTGTGTTGAACATTAGGTAGACTTTAGGTCGAAATTATCATATGTGTTTTTTTTGCAATTGGAATGGGTGAAAATGAAAAAAAAATTTATGAGTAAAAAAGGGACATTAATTATTTAATTTTTATTCCCCTTTTTACTTGCTTCAGCAAGCTTGCAAGAATTGTGTTATAGCTATATCACGGCTTCACTTTTTCCAATACAAAACTCCGAAATTGCTAATTTTGTTATCAATTTTGCTGCAGATGAAGCAAAATGTGCTCTTCGCTGTTTAGGAAAACTTTGATTTGTTTCTTAAGCGTCAGAAACAAAATTGCGTAGAGATGTCAAGTTGGATGTTCGAAATCAGTGTTTTGATTTCCGTAGAGAGCATTTGTTTTTCAAAACTGTGTCGTTTTCTTGCCTTTTTCATTACTTTTTGCTAATTACATTTCTCCTATCGGCGTTTTGTCGTTCGTGTTTACAAAAAACAACTTTGACTCTGTGTTATATATGGTAAAATTTTAAAGGAACAAGGCAACTGGAGATATCTTAAAGAAAAAAGCAACTCAATTTTTGCGTTTTTGTTCCGGCTATTGAAAATGGAAGGAAGTATGTATTTGGTGTTTTATTTTTTAAATACTTTTTGGCTGTTTTTTGTTTTCCATGCAGGTACCACAAATAATCAAATCATCGGACAGGGTCGAGTAATAACAGAATCAACAATAAAAGCCGGTAGCTGGGCAGGTAGCACAGAATGTTCCGACCGAACACATTTTCGGAAAAAAAATCCGTTCTTCTTTTTTCAAGTTAGTGTCTTTTGTTGAAGGTCGTGCGATGATGCAACTACACAAACGCGTAGAAATTTCGTAAATTAGGCATAAACGGCTCCATTGTTTTCAAAAAATTAATAAATAAAAAACATGAATAAAAGCTTCGAAGTTTTTTTTCTTTCAACTTTTACACTAAAAACTCTTACAACTTTATAATTTTTTGCCGGAGAAGAGCTAGTTAAAGCAAATTTTTATTTAGCTCTTCTTAGGCAAAAACGTGTCAGACATTTTTGAACTTTTTAGCGAAAAAAATTGAACAAAAAAATCGAAGATTTTTTTTCGCGATTTTTTTTTGTTTTTTTCTTAAAACAATTGAGCCGTTAATGCCTAATTTACTAAATTTCTACGCGTTTTTCTAGTTGCGTCATCTCATGATTTTCACAAAAAGACACTAAACTTTTCTTTTCAAATCTGTACGACTATCTTATATAACCCGGCTAAACAAATTATTATCTTTTGATCAAGCGTTTCCAAACAAAAATTATATAAAATGATCGGAAATGTTGCAAAATTTACTCTCGCAATTAGCAAGGTTATTGTAGTCAGACACTAGATTTTTCAGCCATAGCAGTTTGGCTAACGTATTCCCAAAAGATGGTACAGTTTTTATAATAAATCAAATCCAATGACCGTTTCAACACATTTAATCAGCTAACGCCCATATTTGGGACGGCAAAAGTCCTGTATTCAATTCCGGTCGGGCGCCGGATTATCATTTTTCTGCTTGTCTTTATAAACTCACTGTCCAAATCATGGAGTTTTGTTCGGAATTAAGCAAATTTTACTATAAATGAAAATCTTATTGATTCATACCAGCAATTTGTAATTTTACCACCTTAATTTTCCACTGTCGTCTACCTATTAGTTTTTTGCATGAACACCGTTGGATACTTTTTGTTTCAGAACTATTTTATCACTATAAATTGGGTTTTTTACAAGTTTTCTTCAAGTCGAACTTCACGCCAGACAAGCATACAAAAATTTTGGTTAATTTTGTTTCTTACATTTTGTTTTATATTCTTTACTCGATGGGTTTCGTCTAATTTTTTTTCAGATTGCTGCCATGATATTTTCTAATTAAAATAATTTGTTTTTCTTGCAATTTCCTTGATTTTATCGACATTTTTTCAGCTGTCTGCTTTTTATGTTCCTTTTCATCAATTTTTTATCAATTTTTTAAAATCTTTATCAATTTTTTATCAATTTTTTTTTTAAAAAAATCGGTTCATCGATCCAAATAATGAAACCAACATTAAACTTAAAAATTAATTTTACTTTTCCGGCATAATCGTAGTGACTCAAATTAGCTACCATCAATTCGGAAAGCTTCAATTTTAAATAAAGTCTAGTCTATAGTTCTAACAGGTTTTTTTTAAGTTAATAGACAAAATACTTAGACTACGTTTTTTGAGAGGCCATGTCTCAAGAACGTTAAAAGTCCTTCACTAAAAAGTTTGAATTACCGATTTCTTTGCTCAGAGAAAATCAAAAGAGGAAGGTTTAACAGCTGAGTTGATAAGTGCTGAAAGATTGTCTGATTTTCACCCTCGTTTCGATCAGACAAATTGATTTTTCAGCTTTCTGTGACTGTCTCCAAATGTCAAAATTCGTGAGCAGATTCTCCGCAGATATAAAGTACCAACAGAACCCCTCGCATACTTATGCGATAAGCTGGTATAACTTGCTTCCCGTCCCTGTTTATCATTTGCGACTCCCTTCATTTTAATCCACGACGACGGGCGAAACTGCAGGTAACAACTTCAATTAAAGTCTCCCTTTAATCCCACCTTAAAGCTTTTGTTGTTTGTAATGAATCGAAAAATAGATCTCGATACAACATGCGAACTTATCTCAATGAATTGGTCATTTTCTCTTTTTTTGCCTGCTATAAATGAAGTTAAAGTTGGACTAACATAGTTATAAATGTAAGATAGCCCTTAAAATGTTTACTTCGGCTGACTTTTGGGCCAATAACAAGCCGTGTTTTTCGAGTTTTACCAGCCATTTACATAAATTCAGGGAATTTTGATTAATGAAGGAGCGTAAACATAAATTCCAAAAAGAAAAATGTTGTCTAAAATTATTGCTGAATTTGTAGACCTGGTTGGAAACATGCTACAAGTTAATTTATTTAAGTGATCAACAAATAAGCACAGGGCTAGCAGATGAAAATCGATCCTACTTTGAAAATTCTCATTACCCATTTGTCCTGGTGCATTGGAGACTTTATAAATGAGCTTCATAGTTTGAAGAAACAATCCTTGGGTTATTTATTTTATTCTTATTTGAGTGGTATACTAACTTCCCAAAAGTTTATGGGTATTTATTTGTTTGTTAAATTGAAAACATGATATCGTAATCATGCCGCGACAAAAACGAAATAACAAATCGTCTGCAACATCTGGTTTTAATAATCAGCCAAAAATCCAATTCAAGAACAGTTCACCGCCTATCAATGGTCCTCATACACCCTATTTGTTATACGGACCAAATGGCGATATAGCTTTCAACACTTACCCTAGTAGTTTTCAACAATCATCTATCCCCAATTCTCCTTTGAATAACACTACCCAAACGCAGAAAAGTGTGAAAAATACACCAAGTAAGCACAACCAAAGCAATGGGGGAGAGGTGAATAGTGTGTGGACGGCGCAACCTGCGTTTGATTACGAGCCTCTTCGTTTCGCAAATGGACAGCCTCGTCGATTCGAGTTGGCTAACGGGACCCCTTCGTCTCCCATATTGTACTACAATAGACCTTCACTAGAGGTTAGAAAGTTTGAAATCATCTTTAACGACCCAAATTCATTATTAGCTGCAAAAAATACGTTTTTTTTCTTCAATTTTCCAGTCCCTTGCAAAAAGGTGAGGGATTCGTTACCCTCTACATTATTTACCCTACGCTTAATTCGTTCTGGCAATTCGGGTGGCAATTCGTTTCGAAGTACCATAGGGGCGCTAGTTTGAGAGATCCAAAAAACGGATGCCTAGAAATATTTCCCCCTATTGCAAAAAAGTGGGGGTGTGGGGACTCGTCATTAGGTACAAAATCCGTGTATGCTCGTTCTTAAATTGGTCATTTAAAGGGTTGGATAGTTGTTGTAGACACCATAGGGCAGAAATTGTTTCTTCTTTTTTTAAGCCGACCAATTTGATTTCCCCAGCTCTCCGAAAAGACTACAAGGACCCTATTTTGCCAAAAAATTTTCTGTGATGCAGGCAAACAAACAAAAAAACAGGCTAAAAATGACGTTTTGAGCACTTTAAAATTATATTTAACCAAAAAAATTGCGTTTTTCGGCGTGCGCTCACCTCTAAAATTTGCCAAAAATGTATTTCGTAAAATTATACCAAAGGTGCCATTTGAAAGCGAAATTTTGGGCACTTGGCTAAAATTTCGTGCTATCTATGTAATCTAAAATAATGTTATCATCTGTTGATATTACGCTCTGCTTAATATTCCATCCGGACTCTGGAATCAGAGACGGTGGTTGATTAACATGATTAAACTTCGCTTTGTTCCGGTTATATTTCAGTGACTCTACTTGTTGAAGGGCTAATTTTGAAATTGAAATTGAATATATTCACCGTGCAATAAAACCTTATGCCAAGCGTTAACCCCGTACCATTTCTTTTGATCTGCTAATTTTCATCTGTTGTTTGTCCGACTGATAGGAGACAGGAATTTATTTTTATTCAAGAGTAATCAATCATAACAATAAAGTTGTCGACTTGGAAATTATATTTTGCAAAGTCGCGTTTGCAAACCTTATTTAAAATTTAATCAAAAAGGCGCAAAACGACATGAATTTTGTAAATCAAAGTATTTTTTACTGTCGAAAACGGATGTGACAAAATGATATCAAACTTGTCCGAAAAAATTAGAATCTAGTTCTGGGGCAAAATAATACGCACGGCCGATTTGCAAATTAACTTTTTGATTATATTTCCAGAGCTCTTATTCGCTACCTGCACCTAATCAAGTCCACCATGTCACATTTCCATCTCCCTCGCCTCCCCTTCGCGGAGGAGGAATAGCCAGACCGTTGACTGTGCCCAATACCCCAATTATCCACGGAATCACTCTACCCCCTGCTCCCCCTGACTTCGGAATCGTGGCACCGAAAAGTAATCAGCGGAACAGCATTTTAAGTTCTAACATTAATTCATCATCTTCGTTACTTTCGAGCGGTCAGTCTGTAAAACCCATTCTGAAAAACTCGACAGGAGGCTCCTCGCCGACCAATCATATTGATGCAACGAAGGACTATTTAATGAAGGAGTTGTCGGATTTAGGCGAGAGTGAAGAGAAGCATCTTCGTAGGCTGATGCAAGTCGATGACAATGACGATTGCACGGCGCTGTCTCGACTGTTCTTCCAAGTAAGGCTTTGAATGAATCATTTTTGATACTGTCGTTGAGATAATCGAAGCTAAAGAATTTTAAACTAAAACACCTCTCAGGATTTTGATGTAGTCATTTTACAACCGCTGTCATATAAATTGAAATCATTGGAGATTCTTTAATAGATAGCATAGGGGAGGAGATTGTTGAGTGGATCCAAAATTGTTAGCTAAACCCAGTGACTCTGTGTTAAGGAAAGCACTATGGTGCACGGTGTGGCCAGAGCGGCCAAGCTGGGTTCGGACTTGAGGAGATTCATCTGGGTGGCTCTGGTGATACTGTGTCTGGCTGGATTCACCTGGCAGACCTGTAGTCTCCTCGTGGACTTCTTCCGCTGGCCAGTGACTGTCATTACTCAGATGGAACACACCAGGACTCTCACTTTCCCTTCCATCTCAGTCTGCAACATGAACAAAGTTAGTCAACATCAACAATTAAATGCACCATATATGAAAGAGGCAATTTTCTTACAGTTTGTCACCCTGAAGTGATAATTCCTCGATCAATCCTTTTTTAGGGGCGAGCGATTGTAGCACTGCCTCAGGAACAATCATCTTTATGAGTGGCGAAATTCAGTTTCGATTATACAATACTTCTGTCAAATTTTTTAATATCATGAGTCATTGAGCAAGGAATTGATATTAAGACAAGCGTATCGGTGCTAAGAGGTAGCTATTTGTCAAACAATTGGTAAGAGTTGGCACCTGTCCCCAATTGTCGTCCAAACAAGGACGTGACTTTGATCCAAACTGTTTTAAAAATGAACAAATTTTCTCCTAAAAAAGAAACTGATTTTCTAGATCATGGCCAGCAAGGTACAGTCTACACGTTTCTCCAGTCTGCAGGAACTAGACCAGTACGCCGCAGAGAGTCTTCCTGAGGAGCTGTCCAGGTACCTGGAACGCGTGAACAAAACCAGTGAATTGAAAGTATGCGGGGGTGCTGGGGAGAGGGGGGACTTGTGGCAGTGTCCAGGGGTGCACTACTGTATCCCAAGAGAGTGGAGGTGTAATGGGAAGCAAGACTGTCCCAACAATCAAGACGAAATCGATTGTGCCGGTAAGATTGTTATTGTTTTTCAAAACATATGGTGATAAAGACGTAAACATTGGTCGTGCTTGAAATAATTTGACACAGATCCAAAAATAGTAAAAAATAATTTAAATGAAAAATCAGCTTGTTTTGGTGTTCCTTGAAAAACGTTTGCAGAAGCTGCTTCAAAACAAAACTTTTTTGGAGCGCAGTTGTTTATGAATGCTCTATAAAAAAATTAAATTCGAGTTTTGAAATTCTAGCTAATGGATTCGAGCTGAGAAAGTCACAAATTACCTATAAACACATTACAAACGAGGGGTTCTGCAGATTTTTTTCACATAAACTTTTCAAAAATAAAGTCGAGTTCTTTGCTTTTTCGCCCCTCAAATCGTCAAATCGTCCAACGGCCTGAAATCTTTTACATTAAGTCAAACTTTTATTCATTGCATTGGCTTAAATACTTCCTTTCTCAGCTCAAGTGAGGAATTCGATCATATACCTTTTATACCATAAATATACCTTTTTCTTAAGATCGAAACTGGGTTATTCTGGTGAATGACACAATACACAAGTTTCTTTCTATCCGAAATTCAAATTTGTAAAAGCATCAGATTTGAGTTAGTTGCTGAAGTGTCATCAATTTTATTTATTTCAAAAGCGGCAGTTTGTATGATTTCACAGTTTATTCATCCCATTTTTTGAAAAAAAAAATAAGCAAAACTTGAGGATGCGTTTCCAATGTCACCCAGTATACATTTAATTTATAAATTGTGCGGTGAACGCTGCTAAATTGTGCGGTAAACGCTGCAATATAAATTGTGCCTGTAAACGCTGCAATATAAATTGTGGTTTATTGTTTACCTGTCTGTATGATATTACTCTCCTAAATAAACAACTTTGATGTTTCCAATTCGCCTTTCAAAACCAGCCATAAAATGCTACTATTACAATGGGTTTATCGAAATGTTACTAGAATGAAAGAATAACTTTTGGAAATAGTTTTTCTATTCTTCTTTTTTTTCAATTAAGTTAAAAAAAATTTTGAGAGTTTTCTAAGTATATAAATTTTCAATCAAATTCATTTAGAAAAAAACAGTATAAATTTATATTTTTCAATATCAACAAAACTCCTCTGACTAGTTTTTACTTACAACAAATGTCTGTTATGAAAAAATTTTGAAGATCCATTCTAAATTTTGCGTAAATATTAATTCTGAGCCTTTTCAATCATTTCATCACCCCTAAGAAAGAAATTTAAATTAAATCAAAAAAATCAGAAAATCATAAAAACGATATATATCCAGCGATTCAAAAAAACCTATGAAAAAATTTTCGAAAAATGTAAGCCTAAATTATTCAGTGAATGGAATCTAAATTGCAAAGTGTATAAAATAACATGTGACATGCGGATGCGGTTCATAATTGATGCCAATGCTGATGCAGTCCAAAAAAGCTTTAAAAAACAGTATGAGTATATAAATCAATGTATATATATATAGAGCATTCATAAACAACTGCGCTCCAAAAAAGTTTTTTGTTTTGAAGCAGCTTCTGCAAACGTTTTTCAAGGAACACCAAAACAAGCTGATTTTTCATTTAAAGCTGATTTTTCATTGGAACTGTGTCAAATTGTTTCAAGCACGACCAATGTTTACGTCTTTATCACGTCAAATATATGGAGCGTAGTTGTTTATGAATGCTCTATAAAAAAATTAAACTCGAGTTTTGAAATTCGAGCTAATGGATTCGAGCTGAGAAAGTCACAAATTACCCATAAACACATTACAAACAAGGGGTTCTGCAGATTTTTTTCACAGAAACTTTTCAAAAATAAAGTCGAGTTCTTTGCTTTATTCGCCCCTCAAATAGTCAAATCGTCCAACGGCCTGATTCTTTTACATTAAGTCAAACTTTTAATTATTGCATTGGCTCAAATCCTTCCTTTCTCAGCTCATATGAGGAATTCGATCATATACCTTTTATACTATAATTATACCTTTTTCTTAAGATCGAAACTGGGTTATTTTTCTGCGTTAAGATCGAAACTAGCGTAATTTTTCTGCGTGGTGTGTTAAGAAGATCTGACGTAAAACTTTATTTTAAAAATATTCGACAGTCATTCTAATATAGACAACTTGGACAGAAATTTTTGTAGAGAAATGTATAGAAAATAGAAAATTAAAAAAATGTAAAATAGAGTTCAAAAAAATCAACAATTGCTTTGCAAATTTTTGCAGAAAGTTTTTGATTTGTTCTGAAGAATTTGATTACCAAAATGGAGCTTGAAAACTCCAAAAACTAAATTTGCTTTTTTAAAACTAAGTTTGCAGGGTTCAAATGAGGCATAATAAAGCTGTTCTAAGCCTGCTTGCTCGCTTTATTGAATCGAATTACGACGAAAATCAAAAAGTTCAAACCGGTTTTTCTCGACACAAGGAAAAAAATTTTTAAGGTGGTTCTAATTACAACTGAAAGGGCTTTAGTTTGATATATGGCTCAGTCCAGTCCAATAACTATTTGTGGTACCTCATTTTGCGTGGAAAACTAAAAGAAAAAAACTAACAGACACCCGAATACAATGTTCCTTCCCATTTTCAATGGTCCGAACAAAAAGGTTAGATTGGAGCTTCAAAAATTTTGCATAAAAGACGTACTTTTGTAATTCAAAAAACCCTCGTCAGGTTTTTTTTTTATCAAAACAACCTAAAAAACTGCAAAAATTTGAATTTATGGGTTCAATAATGTGCACTGGGAGGATGATGTTTTTATTTTCTCCTTATAGCGCATAAACATTAGCTAGGAGAATTGTTCAAAATACGAGGCCCTACATAAAAAAGATGGCCTTAGTTTTTCTGGCAATTGAGGCGTTTTAATGTCCAAGACCTTTACTTGAACATAACCGAGCAACAAAACAGATCCTTAGACGTTTCTGCAACAGCCGATCTGTTTATACGTTCGAAAAGTTTTCTTAAATAAATTTTACCTTGATTTGTTTTAAGCATCAGCGCTAGATATACTCAATAATGGTCAGCAGAGTGTTTCATCACCAAAATGATTTTTCTAACTAGTTATAAAGGGCAAACCTGGAAACGCCTTCGAAGCATTTTTTTTATTTGATCAAATCCGATCATTTTAAGTTGTTTCATCCACCAGGGATCAAAAACAAGCGAGTTACTCAAGTATTTGCGCTGAAAACTTAAACTGTTCTTTTGCATTATTGACAAAAACCGAAAGCTTTTTATTCCGTAACTGTAGAACAGAAAGCAAGATCACCTGTTTCATATTTTTGTGAGTTTTTTTTTTCATTTTCAAATTGTTAAAAAAATCTTTCAAAAAACTGCGAAACAAATTAACATTTTTCTGTAAATTATTTTGCTTTGATAGGTACTACAGAAAATGCATACCTCAGCAAATCTTATTTGTTACGACCACTTCACTTTGTCGAAAAAAAATCAGATGTGATGGAATAATGATATTGGCTCTATTTTTTTCATCCAATTTTTACTATCTCAATAAAAATCAAAGGGGTTTAGTATCGTATTACTTTTGACTAGGAGACAGGTGCGGTGTAATACTAAAACCCTTTCAGCTTTGTCTCGGATTTTTGAATACACTGAAAAACAAATTAGTGTCAAAAAAAAATCTGTATGTTTTCATTTGCCAAATTAATAAGTTTTCAGACTGGAAATTTTAAAATAATTTTCAAATCTGGGATTTTTTGAATTTTTTTATCATTTATTGACTGGGTTTTATGGCTCCACTACATTCCATTTTTAATATTTAGTTATAACACTAGCGAGCTAGCGAGAGTAATGTTTTGCATGGCGCTAGTTTTTTTCCAACCTAACTCGCAAATAAAAATGCTCATTTGGAAGGGACTTTTGGTATACTCACAATTTTTAGCACTAACAACTTCTTGGCATCTGTTCTCTGCTCTATTTGTCGCAAGTGTTTGGCTATCTATAAGTGAGCGCGTGGCACAGTTGGAACGACGTTAGGCTCCTAATCTACTAATCGGAGGGTCAACGCGGCACTTAGCACTGGTTGTATTTATATTTGGTGGCATTGTCGCTGCATATAGCATTGTCATTTTATTAGCCACTATAGCTGTATCATTGGTTCGAATCCGACACATAGCAAAAGTTTTACTAATTCGAGGCTTATAGCTACTTTTTCCTATATCAACTTTGTAGGGCTTGTTTTGTCGTTTGCTGGCTAGTGTTTGCGAAGCAAGTGTGAAAATTTGCAATGTTGAAACACTGTGTTACTTGCGCTACAAATGACTATGCTTGTTTATTCTGCTTTTTTGAGGAAATTTTGTGGGGATATTCAGGTCCTCCCTTTGTACTATTTTGAGATATCCATTTTTGTCGGCGGACCCTAAAATTTTCTTAAGGCTCCTTGGGCGACAATATATACTAATTTTGAGGGGGCGCGCGCGCCAAAAAAACGCGGTTTTTTGGTCAAAGTTTTCCAAAAAGTGCCTAAAAACGCCGTTTTTGGCCTTTTTTCAAAAACTTGCCTGAGGCGCAGAAAATTTGGTCAAATTAGGGTCTTTATAGAGATTTGGAAGACCTCAGAAAATCAATTTGGTCGACCTAAAAAAAGGGTCGACAAATTTTTCAAAACTTTTTTTGAAAATCCGCCCCCTCGAGAAATTCCTAGATCCGCGCCTGCCCTTGCATGCTTTTAATTCTAAGTTCTTATTTGTCTTCCTCAGACCAGTAAAAACCAAACGGAGAAAACCCACTGTTTACAAGGTGCAAATTATCGGTCAGTGTTTCCTTTGATCAAGGAGCAGTTTTTTCTTAACTAGCAACACTGACCTATTATATAACAAGATTATTTAAGATGGTAGATATAAAGTATAATCTGGCCCTAGATCAGAGGAATCAGTAACGCCTTTGAGACCAGATGAGGAATTGATTTATTTACAGCCGCTATGAAGTCAATAAACGACGAATACATGCGGCAAGCTCTTATTCATCGCTCCTCCTTCCAAGCTAAAGAGTGCTAATAGATAA